GCGACCCATCTTCAGCAAGAGGTTACATATTGTCTCTCCGACCCAGTCGGGAAGCTGTCCTGGGAGCAGAAGACCGCGCTTTTTATCCAAGAACCGACGCTGGAAGAACTCCAACGATGTCAACTGCAGGTCCAATCGAAGCTGAATGGCGGCCCGATCATCGTCATAGGCTTTGACGTCTGAAATGACGCCCTTTATGAAGATGGTCACTTGGATGACTTGCTGGACTGCAGTGACTGCGGTACCATAGACATCCATTTTGGCCAGCCTCGTATGATATGTTAGCGTTTACCTAAAGAAATAGCAGATCAGCAAGGCAACTGGCAAGTATTAATATGCGGGCTGCCGCCAGAGCCACCACGCAGGGGCCCGAGACGAGTCATGTCGGCGGGTCTGACAGGTGGCCTAGCGCTGACGTGAGAAACCCCTGCGTCCCAGCAATACTGGAAACAGGTTTATCCTAGCTTGGAAAGGAAAATGTTAGGAGGATCATGAGGTATTATCATCGTATTCTGATGGAGACGTGGAAAAAACTGATACAACCACCATTAACCCTTCTATCATCGTGAGCTTCTTTACCCTATCGGGTGCCGCTGCTCCCGCCAACCAAATATATCTCATTTCGGTGACGATTCTGCTTTTTCGACCGTAGATTCAAATTGTCAGTGAGTAGAACCGTTATCCCGGTTAAACAAAATCGTGATATTGAGTAAGTTTATTGATCATTTTTGACAGCTGCATAATTTCCAGGCGATGGTATTAGTGCCTGAGTTTCCATTTCCTTGCCATTCATTACCCGACCGATAAATATACTACTAGGGTTCGTTGGAGCTGCTGAATGTCATAAATCGTGACATACTGTTTTCCCCCCACATTGGGTTGCTTTATTGGCCTCAAGATAGGAAAGTGCGGCCCGAGTAATAAGCGAGCAGCGTGTTCCTTGGGCTTTTTGGGCTTCTTCTGTGATATGGTTTGAATAGGTGTAACTATTGACAGCCGATTACCTTGTTGTTCCTTCTCTCTCTTTTGCCGTCACTCTCCGCTTTCCCGGCGGCTGTCCTTTATTTGTGTTGATTTTAAGTGCGCACAACAAGTCAATCACCGAGATCAATTCCCCACATCTCTTTCAATCGCCAATATCACCACTATGGCCTGAATCGAAAAACCCAAAATCCTTCTTCTCTCTCTCGCATATCAAGACTTCCTCGATGGCACCTATTCCGGCCTCTTGTGCAGGCTCCTGTAAGTAGCCACCGTCAGGCGCACAAAGGTAAATTCAGGGAATTCTTCGGGGTGTTGGCCTTCCCTGGAGTTATGGCGATTATCATCGTACAACATTCCAACTCATTCCTTTCGATCTATTGCCTGACAACGTTGAGCCATCTTCATTGCCTAAGCCGTATAGCATAAAGGTGCTTCATGTCAAGTACGCTCGATCCGAGGACAAGCTCTATATTTCGGTTGAGGGTGCGGTAAGGCAAAGTCTGGTTTGGGCTCCAACTTATGTGGATTAGAGTCAAGCTGCTGTGGTAGGGGCCAGGCTCGGACAGGGGCATCTCTACTACTATGGAGATGTGATTGGGGAGGATGGATCAGACCAGCTGATGTTGTCCCTTTGCGGGTTCTAGGGAGAGTGGGGTGCCCATGAAGAATGATTCCGATGGTTAGCGGGAGAATTTACGCCAGGTATCTATACACATCCGCTACATGCTCAAATCTTAGCGAAAGGAAAGGCAAAGTAATTGGGTAACAAAAGAAAAGAAAAACATTACGATACAAGTCGGATCAACAGTACCGCAAAGCAGTAAATCAAACAAGTTGAACCCGATCCAGCAATAAAAATGAAATAAATAAAAATATCTAGACTATAGCTTGTGACCCCGCGGCGAATAACTTCACATTACCGCAGCCACTGCCTCGTATGAGTGGGGATAGCGTCAGCGCTAGCGGTAGTGCGAGTGACGAGTGTGATGCACACGGCAAGGAAGGGAAGTTCATCCCGCTCTTGTCAACAGTTCATCCTGGAAACGGAAGAGGACTCGTCTTTTTGAGTCAACCATCTTTTCATTCATGCCATGGATTTACTCGACGATGATGGCGCTGCACTACTGCAGGAGGCTCTCGATACCCTCGACGAAGATGGCATTGATGAAATGGATCCGTTCGATCTGGATCTCGATGATAGCGGAGCCAGTATTTCTCCCGACGACCTCCTCGACAACACATCCGAGCCCCCAGATCTCGACCCGCTCAGCTTGGTTGACGACGAAGAATCCCATGATGGAAACAGTTTATCATCCACCGATCTCCTAGAGGAAAGAGTCACGGCAGTGCGGAATGGGGAGAATGCTCTGATGACCTCGGTGTCCGACTTTACCAGCATCCTGTCGCGAACCGGTATCCATGGACCCCGTCATCTGCAAACCTACAATCTCAAGCGCCGCGCAGTCAAGATTGGCAGTGGCGGACAGTTTACAGTATACAAGGAGATCCCCGGCCGGTTCTTTGGCAACGAAGGCTTGGTGATCAAACGTGTCAAAGTGTTCCTGTCCCGTGAAGGAAACTCCAGCTTTGCCTCCGGCTCGGACTATCGTCAACGACTACGGTCCTTGGAGCTGGAAGTGCTCGCTTTATCCAACCCCTACCTCCGAAACCACCGCAATATTGCCAAACTCGTCGCCTGGGGATACGATTACCCTTATCCCGATACTCCAGTGCCAGTATTGTTCGTGGAGGAGGCGCTGATGACGCTTACCGACCTTCTCAAAATTGATAACGAGAGGTTACTTGGGTCGCAGCCTCAGGATGTTAAGTATCAGCTCTTGCTAGATGCAGTGTCAGGACTCGAGGCGCTGCACCGGCTGCATATCGTCCATGGAGACGTCAAACCAGACAACATCTTAATCTACAAAGATGCTGCAGGGAATGAGAAAGTCCCGCTATGCGCCAAGATCAGCGACTTTGGGGTCTGCGTCGATCTAGAGTCCCCGGAAGATAAGCTTACTATCGAAAGTTATTATGGAACCGAGGACTGGCGGGCTCCTGAAGCTAGCGATTACTCCAGGTGGCAGGGCGATGCTTTCGACCCGGAAGTTATGTTCCGCTTCGATTCCTATAGCTTGGGATTACTCATCCTATCCAGCTTTATCAATCGTGGTGAGCCAGTCAAATTGAAGACGCCTGGAGAAGATCCAGTCGAGGTTGCGCTTTTCATGCTGAGAGAAGATGCAACCATCACTGGTCCACTCCGGATGCAAATAGGCAAAGCTCTCCGGCAGCTGCTGGCAACGGATCCTTGGAAACGCAGTTTGGCAAGTCCTGAACTGCTGAAGCTGGATATACCTGCATTTTCATCATGGTAACTTTGTACCCTTCACTATCTGCTACATATCAGAAGCCGCTGACTTGATGCGCCGCAAGGCTTGCTGTGGCGCAGGATACTCGCAAGGTCACTGGTAATGTTGGAATCATCGATCCGGCACACAACCAGGGCCCTAGATTTTGGTATCGATTGGACCCCTCCCTTCTTGCAGACCTTGAGCAGCAATTTGCCGAGTCGCACAGCGACCAATCTTTGCGACATGCCGGTGACGTTCTGCTGGGTATGGCCCAGTGCATCACGGGAGCCAAGCCATTGTATCTTGATCGCCTGCTCACCTACATCACCGAGGCTGCCAGAAGTGGCTATTTGCCGGCTCGAGCAGTATACGCGCAGGTCATGCATGCTCATGGCCAGACGCCGGCTTTCAATCAACAGACACTAGATAAGTGGTTGCTTCAAGCCGTGTCTGAGGGATACCTCTTTGCGTTACCCTCTTCGAGGGTCACAAAAGCGCAGCTGCAGACCGCAAGGCAAACGTTTCGAGATGCAGGTGGCTTTTGCACAGATTCCTTCAGCCGAAAGCCAGTCATCTTAGCTGTTGCCCAAGATAGGAAACGAGCAGAAGAGTGGCTTACAACGAACAAGAGGGTCGTTGATATCAATGGCAATACGCTATTGCACGTCGCAGCAGCACTGGGATCCATCGATGTTGTTCAATGGCTAGTTGGAAATGCCAAGACTCCAGTTGACGTGCTGAACGACAATGGTGAAACACCGCTCTACAAGGCCTGTCAAGCTGGACAGACGAACATGGTCCACTATCTTTTAGATAACGGTGCAGCTTCCTCCATCGCGACCCGGAGAGACAAGCTAACCCCCTTGCACTGGCTGTTCATGTTTCCCGAGGGCTCTACAAATGCCATTGCGACACGCTTTGTCCAGGAGGGAGGCTCCGACGTAAATGCTTTGATGGTTCCAGAGAGAACTGAGGAGGGTGCATACGCGGCACGAAGGAACTTCATGATTCATTAGTAAGTCCTCATTGGTTACTGTGTGATTGTTCCTGCCACTCGATTCTGACCAAGGCATACAAGCCCATTCGAACTACCCATGGGGACACCGTTCCATTGGGCAGCATTTGCTCGTAACATCCCAGCAATGGAGGTCCTGTTGGATCTTGGTGCGGATGTCAATGCCACGTATAATAACTCCGACAATGCGACAACTGCCCTAGGCCTTGCCAGCTGGTACGGAGACCTCGAAGTAGTACGATTCCTTCTATCTAAAGGAGCGAACGGCGGAGCAAAGGATGCACGGGGAAGAAACATGCTTCACCTGATGACCTTCCATCAACCAGAGTATCATGGTCCTCTACGGCAGGCATGGCATTACTGGATACGACACGGAAGTTGGGATAGTCATCTTCAACAGATGACAGATATGGTTGCCGCACTTACTCTGGCGGGCGCTAGTCTCGAAGACCGGGACGAGGTATATCCTCGAACTACGGCTGTCGTGAGAGCGGCAGAAGATGGAGTCTGGAACGGAGGTGCATTGTGCGCTTTGATCAATGCCGGTGCGGATGTTGAACGCCCCCGAGGATCATCAAAGGATACTGGTGAGTAGTTTTCTGGTGAATATACAGCACCATACATGAACTAATATCTGTCTCGCTCAAGTACTCCATCAGTGGGCCAGAATCACAGGCCCACGACTTGCCTACACAGACTCATACCTCTATATCCTGCAGAAGATAGTATCAGGGATGGCGTCTTTAGACATTCGCAATGATTTCGTCGAAGAGACTCCTCTTCACCTATTGGTGACAATCTACCACTCCGAGGAAGAGTTCCGGCCCGCCTGTGATATTCTCTTTGCTCACGATCCCCAACCCGATGTCAATTTGGGCGATCGACAAGGCCTTACTCCTCTGCTGATAGCCGCGGATACGAACCAAGTCACGCAGGATCCTGAACAACGTTTGTTTTATCTAATCGCCCATGGAGCTGATCTCCGAGCCCGTACCAGCGAGGATAAGGATGTCTTTTGCCTTTTGGCCAACAACAAGACGTTGAGTGACCAGCAGAGTCACGATATTATTCATCGCTTGTTGTCGCATCTGGCTACTCTTAAAGGGTGTAGCATCGCACAGGAGTACAAAAAGCACTACCTTCCGCACCGTGGTGCGATCCTCACCCTCAGCACGGCTGCAATGGCGGGAAGAGCGAAAACCACCTCCCTCCTACTAGATGTCGGTCTCGACGAGGCCATCAACAATTCGATTAAGCCGAGAGACCCTACTACCGTCCTGGACAGCGCCATATCATCAGCAGCGCGGAGCCGACACATGCATCTCGATCTTCTGGCGGCGTACAGTCCAGGGGCCCCACGAGCCCGTGCCCTCGCAGCCCAGACGGTGTACGATCCGCGTCAAGGACCACCGACGCGCGCTGCCGAGGCTTACACCGGACTACCAGAAGTTCTGCGGCTTTTGCGCGCCCGTGGTGCAAAGCGAGCTTGTGAGCTAATGCCATCCTCTCATTTCGAAGTGAGTTCGGATCATCCTGATGTTTGGGATATCACTCAGATGTACTGGCTCGGGTTTACCACGGGAACACAGCCAAATAGAGAACGCTGGGAGGGCTTTTATCAGCTATCACGTCTACCCTCGGTAGGCTGGCGAGAAAGGGTCATCGATAGTCTCAGAGAGATGTACGAAGTTGACATGTGGTGGCCAGATCTGGCCATGCTCGAGGCTAGCATCAACCTTGTCAATAAGCGGGATAAGGCTCTCGCTTCTGGTACAGTACCGATGTCACCCACGCTTCCATCCGACCCAAGCACTGATGTAGTAGACGTTGAGCTGCTTGGACAGATGCTGCGGATGCTCATTACGGCAAGACACGACGCGGATGATGCCCAGACAACTTATGAGATTGCTTATGATTCCACGCCCATGACCAAGTGGATCAGGATTCGCGAGGGGCGAAAGTATGATCGCAGTCCTGCGTCCTTGGGTGAGCAAATACCCGAAGTGGAACTGGTGTGGGGAGACACTGGATTCGGGCTCGGTCAGAAGCGCGTGTGTCAGGTTAACTAAGAGAAGATAACTATCCGTCTGGGTGTGATCTAGCTTCTCACGTTCGTCTTACAGAGAAAATTATAAACTCATTAAACGTGATACAAGGTTGGGTGGATAGTCTATGTACGCGAATATATACAGTCAAGAAAACTAAGATAATTGCTCATGGCTTTGTGGAAGGAAAGTTGCCGGTGCCCAGAATATCTCCATCGCTCTCCTGTCCGTTGAGGGCGCGGTCGATCCGGAACTGCGTCGTCTTGAACAGTCGAGGCATAGCCGTCTCTTCGAAGGGGATCTTCTCCACTACCATGCGCGCAAGCTCCTGTGCCGATCGCCAAATCACCGGCATGCCGTGACCATTCAGTCCCGCCAGGATGAACTGATCGTCCTTGCCGGGCACAGCTCCAATGTGCGGGTTCGAGTCATACGAGTATCCCATGACACCCGTCCAGATTTGATCGACCTTCGCTCCGCTATCCTCCCATCCACGGTACGTCCGTTGCATGTAATCGTTGTAGTAGTCTTTGGCCGAGTCAATGAGAACGGTATCATCGACGTTGTTGTACCATTGCTCCTTGTATGAGCGGAACTTGGCGGCTGCTCCACCGACAACGATGCTGCCATCGGGACGAGGGATCAAGTAGGAAAGGGTGTTATCTTCGGTGCGGTTGATGTAGGAGTTGTTCAAGAGTGGTGCGGTTATCCCCTCTGGCACAGTAATGCGACAACAGATACCCTTGCAGGGTACAATATTCTTCTCGTACTCGGGAAGCAGACCGGCCACGTAAGCATTACTGGCGTGCACAACCGTTCCTGCGTGCATCTTTCCGCGGGACGTTTCAATGGTATAGCCGCCCTCCGGGCTGGGGGTTATCGATGTAGCAGGGGTAAATGTTTGCAGATTGACCTTTCCCGTAGCGAGGACGGATTGGAGAATGTGTAGGATGAATTTGTACGGCCACATGGTGCCCGCCGTGAAGGAGGCGCAGGCTTTAGCACCTTTGACACCACAGATCTGTTTGGTCAGCATGTACTACTTCATCCTGAGGTTGTGATTGGTACTCACTCCCTCCACGTTCTTTCCAGTGTAAAACACCACATCATTCATATACTCGAGATCCAATGACTTCATGAGCTCATATGTGCCCTTTGCCTTTTGCGCCGCCTCCTCGTTGCACCAGACATCGATAGATCGCGCAAGCGTAAAGTCGCAGTCAATTTTCTCATCCTCAACGACCTTCTTCAAGGCATGCAGGTTGGCAATCTCGAACTCGGCAATTTCTGCGCCAGCGCGAACACCTGCGCGGTCGACGTATGTTGGAATGTGGCCGTAGAAGTCCGGACGGAGATGTCCGCCATTGCGACCCGTCGCCCCGGAGCACGCTCCCCGGGCCTCTAAGATAGTAATGGACTTGACCTTCTCGCCGTGGTCACGCAGCAGATGGTATGCAGTGCTAGCTCCGGCGTAGCCGGCGCCGATGATCACGATGTCCGCGTGATCGGGGAGCTGCTCAGTTGAGCGGTGATCATGCAATTGATGCGGCTCATTTTGCCAGAAACATTCGCCAGGGTTAGAAACGGGGAAACAGCCAGCTGTAGCCATGATGAAGGTGTGCACAGTCACAAAAACGATGTGAGAAGCGGTTAAGAAATGAAAAACTGGAACGCGACCGTAATTTCTGGGCGGACGATAAGGGAGTCTTATCTGATGCTATCGCATCGTACCTTGATTCCACACCGGACCGGACTTTCCTATCGCGGCCTAGCGCTAATCTTATCGGTCGCGCCGGGACTGTCCCCTCTGGGCAGTTGGGGCCGGTAGGGAGGAATGCACTGGAGGGACAGCGACACGGTGAGGAGCATAGCTTCACGATGGATCATCCCTGCGATGGACCAACGAGATGATGGCGATTTGCAATGCGGGGAGTTGGGCATCAGAAATATACAAGGTCGCCCAATGCCAATACCCAGATCGCATTCACAATTCTGGCCCAGGGTAGTTATTCCATAGACATCCCGGCCGCATCATGGACGGTTCCTTCAGTTCAGAGAAAAAGACCCCCTACCAGACCGATGAAGAGAATGGGGACCTTGAGGCCATATCCGGCCACCTCGACGAGGCCCAGGTCTTTCAGCAGGGCCTGCACCAACGGCATATTCAAATGATCGCCCTGGCGGGGACAATTGGCACAGGGCTCTTTCTGAGTTCAGGTCGCGCCATTGCTCATGCAGGACCGTTGGGAGGGTTCCTGGCATATAGCATCATGGGGCTGTTAGTGTCCAGTGTGGTGTTTGCGGTGGGAGAGATGGGTGCCTTGGTGCCGTTGGCCGGCGGCGTGATTCGCTACGCAGAGATCTTCGTCGACCCCGCCCTAGCCTTCGCCAACGGATGGAATCAAATATATTCCTACCTCGTTTCGATTCCGTCGGAAATTGTCGCCGCCGCCGTGGTGATTGAATTCTGGACGACCATCAACAATGCCATTTGGATCACTGTTTTCGGGCTGTTGATGTTGATCACGGCCCTGGTGTTTGTGCGTGTGTATGGTGAGCTTGAATTCGGCTTCTCCATTCTCAAGATTATGCTTGTAATTGGCATCAATATCATGGCGCTCGTCATTACGTGTGGTGGTGGTCCGAACCATGTCAGTATTGGCTTCCGCTACTGGCGCGATCCGGGTCCGTTCGTGCAATACCTGGGCATCGGCGGCTCCTTGGGACGTTTCCTCGGGTTCTGGACGGCCCTGAACAGTGCGCTCTACTCCTATTCCGGCATCGAAAACATCACAGTTGCAGCATCCGAAACACGAAACCCACGTCGATCCATCCCCATGGCCGCTCGTCGCATCTTCGTCCGAATCATACTCTTCTACGTGTTGACCATCTTCATGATCGGGCTGGTGGTTCCCTCCGACGACCCCAACCTACTCGGCTCCTCAGGCACGGCCTCGGAATCCCCCTTTGTCATTGCGGCGCGCAATGCGGGCATAAAAGTGGTGCCTTCGATAATCAACGCGGTGGTGCTGACATCGGCTTGGTCATCTGGAAACTCGAACATGCTGGGAGGATCGCGTGTGATCTACGCCATGGCAGCAGAGGGTCATGCACCGAAGTTCTTCATGCGCATGAACCGGTTCGGCATTCCGTATGTTGCGGTGACACTATTGGGAGTATTCATGGCGCTGGGATATATGACGTTGTCCAGCTCGGCCAGCACGGTTTTCACTTGGCTACAAGACATTGTGTCCATCGCCACACTGGTAAACTGGGGCATCATTTGTATCGTGTACCTCCGATTCTACTACGCATGCAAGAAGCAAGGGATCGATCGTCACAAGGAATTGCCGTGGGCGGCGCCCTTCCAGCCATGGAGTACATGGATCACGCTGGTGCTGTTTTGCCTGCTGTTTCTGACGGGCGGGTACGAGACTTTCATTCACGGTGAATGGGATACCGAGACTTTCATCTCGTCATACTTGAATGTCCCCATTATTTTTGTGCTGTATTTTGGGTACAAGTGGTGGATGAAGTCGAAGATCATTCCGCTGGAGGATGTGCCTGTGCGGCCATTCATCGAGCATTACCGAGAGAACCCGGAGCCGGAGCCAAAGCCGAAACGGGGGTTACGGCGTTTGAATATTTTGTGGGATTAATGTATATATAGGTGTTTCTATAATCTTCAATAGCATTGTGGATTATCCTGCAGTCATTCAGTATTCTTGCCTATGTTCATCATATATATTTTCACTGCTAGGAGACTTCCGTCAAGTACACAAGGTACTGGATCCCACAATGCGTTCTAGCAAACAGCCATTGAGCATCATACTACATGTTAAAGTCCCATTGTATACTAGTCAGCCTAAACTAAGCAATCAAAAGTAGTTCCGACATACAACAGTTAGTTCGATGTATTCTCAATTCAAGCCGGTTATCAAAATGTGGTGTCAGCGCGATAACTACGCCGGCTATCAATGCACCTTATCAACACGCTATCAAGTATCAGCTCCTGGTCACATATCGCCATTTTCCCCTGAATTAACCTGCTCTTAGACCTACTCTAGTCCCCGTCTAGTGCACGCCAGCAGTATCTGCAAATGCGACCGGCCCGGCCTACTGAAATGGGCGAAGTTGCTGCCCCTCGCCCGGTATCGGCGGGCACCCACCACATCACGACTAGGAAGTACTATTTGATGCCACGCAGTTCCCCGCGATAACGCGTCTACCCCTCAATAACCGCAATACCACACAAACCCTCCCTCCATCCCTCTCTCCCTCCTCACTCAATCACCACTCCATCTCACACAACACAAACAACATGCCCAACCACGTCGTCTTCGACGTCGTCGGCACCTGCGTGTCCTTCGATGCCTTCTACGCCACCATCGAGCGCACGCTCGGCCCCCAACTCCAAGCCCACCACATCACCGCCCAAACCCTGGGTTTCACATGGATGACCTACGCCGAGCTCCAGTTCACCTTCCTTTCCACTTCTGAAAGCTACAAGCCCTACAAAATCGTCATCACCGAACTCTTCTACCAAACCCTCGCCATGATCGGCATCTCCGACCCCCACAGCTTCGCCACCCCCGAACAACGCGACGCCTGCGTAGCCGGCTACGCCGCCCTGGAGCTCCGTCCCGGCGCACGCGAATGCTTCGCCAAGCTCCGCGAGGCCGGGTTCACCGTCTGGTGTTTGACGACGGGCGATACGCAGCGGGTGCGCGGATACTTTGAGCGGGCGGGCGTGGACATGCCCTTGGAGAATTTCCTGACCTGCGATACGGCGGGCGTGGCGAAGCCGGCGTTGGCGGCGTATCGGCCCGCGTGGGAGAGGTTGGGTAGTGATGAGGGTGGGGAGAAGTGGTTTGCCGCGGCGCATTTGTGGGATGTCACTGCTGCTACGAAGGTCGGGTTCCGCGGTGCTTATTGTACGGTTTATGAGAAGGAGGGGGCTTTCAATGTGTTTGATGCGCCGTTGGATGTGGTGTCGGAGTCGTTGCCTGAGATGGCGGAGAAGATTATTGCTGCTTCGAAATAATGAATTGATGGTATGGAAAGAGTATGTTACATGATTATCGTAGTGGAGAGTAGTGTAGGGTAGGCTATGGAAGATCAACATGCGTCCAGATCGGATCTAAAGTCGACACGGCCAGGAACTCTTCTAGCACTTGGGTCTCTGTGCGGGTGGGCCAGGTTGCGGAGGGCGATAGATTGGCACCGCCGAAGATGGAGAAATCCAGGGTTGGATCGAACGGGGGTAGCTGCTCCATTCCGTCCAGCGGAACCGTCCACGGCTCGACTGTGTCAGGGTGCGGTGGGGCCGCTTCGGATGCAGGTTTCTTGAACGTCGTTCCCCAGTTGCGGAAGGCCTCGTAGTCGGACACCAGGCCTGTAGATTCCGAAGCGGGCTCCGGTCGCTGGACTACTGTGTGCAGACGCGCCAGCGACCTTTCCAACGCTTCAAGTAAGGATACTTCTGATCGTGCAGAATCGCCCGCTGCGGACATCTCCCGGAGCAACGCGAGTCCCTCCCGCATGGGCTGACGCAAGGCGTCTGACAGATTCTGCACGGAGAATGCGATAAGTACCAGTAGAGCAGCCCTACATGCGCTGTACTCCAGGTAGGACGCTCGTGCCAGTCCCGGTCCGTGATCGCGCAGCTGGCGACAGATCTCCAATGCCTCCTGAGAGGCTTGGATGCAATCGCCGATGAGACTGTCGCGGTCGGAAGGCTGGAAGTACGATTCCTCGGACGACTCTTGGGGACTTGCATTATGATGAGTAGGGGACTCCTTGCGGAGAAGGAATGGGCGACCGATGAACATGCGCAGGAGACATGATTCCAAACGCAGGTGCATGACGGCGCGATTCGGTTGCTGTCCCACCTGGACTGGGTTGACGAGCGTGTCAGAGATGCCTGCCCACCAGCGATTCCAGGACTCTTTGCGGGCTATTAACTGGCCTATGACGACTGGTAGTCCTGCTGGTTGGGCGTGTCTCAGACGCGATCTGTACACTGATCAGTAAGAGAACTATCACACAGGTGGTTCGGTGTCGCACATGTCATGGAGAAATTCCTCCAGCCAGTCTAGTATCTGAATTGAGATGACTGCACATTGCGGGCTCCAGGAGGACTGTGTCTGGCCGATGTCTGCCCGAGCCTGGGGAAGGTCTGCATCCACATCCCCACGATGCACAGACAAGGGGCGTCCGTGGAAGATCGAGATTAATCTACCATATATTAGCCAAGTTTGACAGAAATAGTGGACATCACAGACCTCTCCAAGGAATAAGCGGTCCACCAGACCCGCTTCCGCGTCTCCATCATCACCGGGCTGAACGCATCCCGGCGGCATTTCCGATGCATGCCGTTTTGCATAGCTAGACGCACCGCCAGATTCACGTAAATGTAACCAAGCCCAGAGGCATCCACTGGAAGAGCATAGAATCCGAGTAGTAGACATGCTTGTACGCTCTCCAAACAGGACAGCTCGATTATTTCCGGCAGTAGTCTGATGGACTGTTCGTAGAATCGCACCCCGACGTCTTCTTCTGAGAAGGTGGACGTCTGATTTTTGGGATCTCGGTCGCTAGGGGACTCCAAATGGGCATATTGAGTTCCAATCGCGAGCACAGAGAGCAGAATGCTGGAGACAGCGGCAGCTGTATCTCCAAGACTGGCAGGGTCGGTGTATAGTCGGTGGACGCGGTCCAACAGCCAGTCTTTTTCTACCAGAAACCAATGTGTGGCGGCATATTTGAGAAAGATCTTGACAAGGAAGCCCGTTATCGGACGAGGGGGGAAGCATGCCAGCGCTGCTGATAAGTGTTCGTTGGTCTTGAGGTGTTGGGCCCGCCAGTATCCTGAAATACGGTCGGGGCTCTTGGTCCGCATGTGACTTTGGATGCGCTCCTTGATGCGCATGGAAAAGTTCCAGTAGGAGAATTCCCCAGAGAAGTCTATGATGTCTTAGCTATTATCCAAGCCGGTTACGGCCAGAGCAAGACGCACGTGTAGTGGTGTCACCAACCGGGTCGATAGTACACTCCTCTTCCTCCAGAGCGAGTCCAGTCGGACTAGTGACCTCTGTATTATCTGAACCTCTGCCGGTGGTGAATGAGTTGGCCAGACGAGCAAGGCTCTTGGTGTCGAGCTCGATGCCCTCGATTGTGTGCTTCAAGATCTGTTCCATGTATCTGCATCGGTCCAGCAACTCCTGTACCTCCGCCTTGGCTGGCCGTGTTCTGCGGTGGATAATTAGCGTGCCGTTATACCCAAATTGCAGATGAACTCGCCTGGGAACGTAAACGCGAAAATCTCGGGCGCGCGACGCGAGGGCTTTCGATTCACAGGGACGTCGAAAATGAGCGCATCGTCTACAGGGGATTCCTCCTTCACATTTCTCCTTCAAGCGACGACATTCGTCGCATCTGCAGTGCTATTAGTGAGCTGATTATCTGGAACAACCAGATTCGTGTGGATTGTGGGGATAACTTACGCGCGGGCAGACCGACGGCCTTCTGCCATACCGTTTAGGTGTATTTGACTGAACTCTACGATGAGAAATAAAGAGGCGAATGTGTCAAAGTACCAGAGACGGGATATAATCTGGACATATATGCTAACAGCTGCTCCGATGCTTCTCCGCACGCGATAAGCTGTGATAGACAACCCCCGCAAGGGGCATCCTGCTGACCGGCACTTCTCTCGCTGCGGTTGGACTGTTATCGCCGCCAGTGGGTCGACTGGGAAATGCAAGATAAGCTGTTCCCCACAAGCTGTGCTCTTATGTCCTAGTGTACTAACGCCTGCACTGAGGAGCAGATGAATGGCTATCTGGCTAGTGTGACCGAAGATTATTAATATATTTTAATTCATACGAGATGCAGAATCAATTAATTGAGGCGTACAAGGGCGTCAAACATCATCTTCCCCTCCTCCTGGTCTCTTATGCGGAATAATCACAAATTTATCAGCGATTGAATCACTCCGTCTGTCAAGCAGCAGCTTATCAATCTATCGATACATTAGTCCCTATTGACAGAGGCGATGGCGTTCCAGCAAAAGGGCCCTTGCGACACGCCGTGTCCGACTCGTCGGCGTGACTACTGTTGACTCGCACAGTTTGAGTGAATACGATTTTTGAGTCCTCTACCTCCACCGCTTCAGTCTGTGACGGTCGGGATAACAGACGAGGCATCTTGTCGCGCAACCGTGTCAAGGAAAGGAACAGTGGTCGCATATTCGACAGGCAAGAGGCTGTTATACCCACGGCGGGCTCAATGCAGGTCCACACACTGGCGGGTACTTGGTCATCTTCCATGGTGCATCTCCTGTCAGTAGAGTACATCCAACTCAGTTAGACTTATTTGATTCTTACAGGTAATATCGCTACCGGCATTTGAAAGCTCAATTAGTGTCACCAGACGTACGATGTCAAACGCAAGCGTTCTGGTGATAGTATATGCAGGTCAGCAACAGTAATCCGAAAAGTCAGGAGTAAGGATTCTAACAAAGCACCAAGGCAGAAGATGCCTGTCAACATAAACTGTTGGGCACGCGGTACCTGTAGGTTCCAGACGTGTTTCATCGGCAACGCCAGGATAACGGCGTCAGTCACAATGTTCGGAATTTGGAGACCATAGTAGAACTTGGCCAGGTCGATGCATCCGCCCGGAATCGTCGGGTTCCAGAGCTTCTCCAGTGGAATACACACGACGCCCCCAATCAGACATACCCCGAAACACCACAGGATAACAATCGCTCCGACGGAATTGGCCGCTAGTATCATCGGTCGGATGGAAAAGATTCGCTTGTATAATGCCAGGATGGAGAGCTTCGTGAATGCGATGCATAGTGTATATAGAAAGCTGCCACTGGCCAGAGTCTTGACGGGATGGTCAGCTCAGTAGCACAGGGGTACAAGCAGAGTAAACTACCAACCTTTAAGTACACTACCAAATCTGAAGGAGGAACGTATACGATGTGAGTGCCTAGCCCGTTATACAGCACTGCCATTCATTAGTCAAAGGCGTTCCGGTGCAGTTGTCAACCATACTGGGAGGTTACGCACAGACAACTCCAGCCAGTGACACTGCATATTCGAAGACCTACCACCAGCATCCACTGTCAGCAATACTTGGACGAGCCTTGGGGGTTTCAAAAATAAGGACTTACCAATGCCACGATTATTAGGTAATCATCAAAGAAGACCTTGGTGCCCGTGATCTTGCGACAGTACAGACGCAGGACAACTGACAGCGTAGAAAGGATCAACGCCAAGCAAGTCGCAGTAATCACGACATGCCGCAGATTATCATGGTCGTATCCGAGATCACCAGTCTCCGATGCCGCCATCGTGAGTGGAAGTCAGCTGTGACAGGGCGATTCTCGAGGTTAACAGGAGAGTGTGATTTGCCTTCAAGACCATGGGCAACCTCAAATAAAAGAGATGTCATTTAGCGAGAGTCAGGAGTGTCAGTGGTACGTGAATCTACATCGCGTTCGCAAAGGTGCTGATTGATGTCATCAATGATGGTTGCAGAACCTCTGCTGCAGCGTATTATTGGCAGCCATGGCAACTAGTACAGCCACCCGCCGATCGAGTCAAGTAGGGTGTCGGAATTGATGGTACCCTCGCTCAGAATGGCAAATTTTGCACCACCTGTCAGCTGTCGGCAAATGCCATCCATCATTTAGCCCCCTTACAGGAAAGCCACGCTCAACAATTCCAGGTCAGTGGTTTGCGGACCTGTCAAATTGCCGAGCTAGAACTATGTCTAGTATCATCAGCGACCGAACGCCCCACTGTAATATAGAGTTCATGTTTGGTACCTAGATCATAGCGTGGCAACAAGTCGGAAAAGGAACCGCTTTGTAGTAGAGCGATTTCTCAATATAAGTGAGGCTAAGGACGAGTTGTGTGATCGAGTATCGATTTGGCGACTTGCTATCCAACTCCACATTGGGTCCGGTCTACCCACTGTCGATCTTCCAATCACCCGTCTACTACTTTCTACATCGGCGAGAACTTGGCCCCAAGGGAGAGATGACTATGTTACACAATTCATTCATCCCCGTTCCCTTCCACAAAACCCTGTGGCAAATGGTGTACTTATAGGAACCTAATAATAAAATGTGACAGGGAACAATCGGTCTCGGCCATGTGGTACGGCGTGCGATATCACTTCTAAACCCAGTTTATCAACAACCTATGATAGCAGCTACTCGGCTTGAGCCGAAAGAGAAATAAGCTCCAAGCTGGCCAGTGGGGCCGGTAAGGATCACAGTGCTACTCCAGCTGCTGAACTGCTTGGGTGAGCTCCGTTATCAAGGGGTACAATTATATAAAGTTAGGCGTGAGAGTTAGTAGATCGAGACCTTGCTTGAGCACACACGTCATTATTATTGCCTGCAACAAGTCCATTCATAGAGCAAACCAACTTTCTGTGTTGGACACCTTCTCCGCAATCCAACCCCTAATGGCCAGGAGAGACGCGCGGGTGAACGCAGCAACCTTGACAACATCATCCACGGCCCCGGGACCGGGTATTTCGCCAGCGTCATGCTGGGCCAGCTTCTCGGTATCCGCGTAGAGAGCGTCGAGCTCTGATGTGTACATTGCCAAAATACCTGCACATTGTACGGTGTCCTTTCCGGCACACAGCATGGACTTCTCCGGAGTGGTAAAAAGAATGTGGCTCTTGGCGATGCAGGCATGGGATAGGCACTCCTCGTTCGCCTGCTATATGCTGGGCCGGAGTCTTTCAATAACATCATCCCGGTGGCTCGGGCTCAGTCCTACTTCTGAGCGGCCCAGTTCAATAATAAGAGCAGCTTGAAAGCATGTCGCCGCGGCAACCAGAGCCCCTGTCACCTCAGGCTAGAGGCAAGTATATAACCCTCCAACTAGACGGAATTTGTCTTCTTGCTATTGAGAAAAACAATCACATCATCCAATCTTGCATACGGCCCCCAGAGGTCTAACTTGGCGGGATCCGGGTAGCGCAGCATGAGGTCGTTGGTATAATATTCTTGACAGTCGGGGAAGATTAAAAACAGAAATTAGTGACCCTCGCGCTCTGGAGTGCGCACCATCACCGCCTCATACTCGTCCGCGGACACATGCCGGAGTTCAACGCCCAGCTGTGGATGGAAGTGAAGGTAACACCAATATTTAAAAGGATTACATATACCCATGGCGTGGATTACATTCCGGATCCCCAGCCCAGAAGCGCCATAGCCGTTCAGATTCCTCAGCTTGCGGGCTACTATGGCCCCGACAGGCTGGGGCAGATCCCCGCCACAATACATCATGTACTCCAGATGGTTGCCGCAGTACTCCAGCAGATCAGCTGCTTAGGACAATTCCAGTACGATTAACAGGACAACAATCACCCAGTCAAATGGGGTCTGCTTCCTCGCTGCTACCATCCCGGTCATACTGGGAAGACCGGCAGCAGTAGGCATTATCAAGGTAATATCGACAGGTATGGTAATTAAAAAGATGTGCCCTAGTCCAGCAGCCTACATATCTAGTTAACACCCGCAGTGGGGTACCATTGGATAAGCTTACTTGGAAGAGACAGAGTGAGATACATACGCTTACCGAACCTCCAGCTGTCCTGGCCTGCGCAGCCAGCGTGTATATCAAGTCTTTGCATGTACATATGCTTCACAGCGCTGTCATGGGTCTAGATAATAGGCTTGGGAATGCCCGTCGACCCCGATATGTGCAGAATGGCAAATCGATCATGTGCTGCGTCAGGATATGTTTTGGCGTAGGGAAAAGATGGCGCTGGATTGGACGACCTTGCTGGGGTTGGCGAAGCAAGAGGGTCAGGGAATTTCCGTGATCTCTCAGCAGCCCTTGTATATATTGGAATGACCAATGACCAAAAAAGTACAGGGATTTTTTTTGTCCGACCAACAGCCCTGACCATCAACATGGGTTACCTGTCAAATCAACTCACTTGGCATATGTAAATACCCTAGCTAGCTGGGGCTATCCTTGCCATCGGCCAAGCTCATTCAATCAAGACAAGGTCAACCCATGGTCTACAACAATAGCACCCGTGGAAATATCGGACAGCAGCGAATACAATATGACCAGCCCCACTTCCTTGTCTCCATCATTCACTATCACATCGCCATCAGACAAATCAAACCGTTTGTCTCCTTATTATCGCGACTAGGTGTAGCATGCATCCGGTGACTCTCACAAGGAGGTGAGGGTGGTTAAGAGTCGGTAACCGAAATCAGATAGCGATTTGAGGACTCAAGAGTTGCTAACTTCGCAGAAAGGCCTGAGTCGCTTTGAAGCTCATGGACTACGCCCGGCTAAGAGGAATGTTCTAACTTCTGTACCAGGAGCTTTAACGGTACGTAAACTGCATAGTGATTATAATGGTGCTGGTTGCTATCATTAGCAGCCATAGCAGGTGGTAGTTCAACCATCGTCTGCTCTAAGTAGGCTAGAAGCAGCTCGGGATTGGCAGTGTTCTATGTGCAAATGACAACTTATGCTGAATCTGTCAGCTGCTTTGCGGTGCATCCAACCTATCCCGGAGGCCTTTTCATTGCCTCTGTGTCGGTTCGTCCTAGTTTCCGTGCAGCAGACCCGTGAAGGCCGGGTTTGCGGATTCGAAGGCACGCATAACGGCCATGGTAACTACCGGATACCCCATTATAGCATCATGCAAGCCAGTCTTCAGGATCTGCTCCCGGATGATGCCATTGTCGGTCTTCCAATTCACGACAGTACCAGCAGCGCCAAGGTCTACTTTGGTGCCTGGTTTCTTGAGCTCTAGCTCATCGTAGCCGATGCCTCCAGGTACAGTTCCTCGGACTGCATGCCAGAACACGGCTTGGCTGTGGTGCGAGGGGATGTCGTAGTCGTCTTCCGCATGGATGATGGTAAGATAGTATCTTTGCCCGTTCACTTCGTTGGCCCGTACGTACTCATAAATGCGATCCTTGCTCAGCCACTTGTCCCGGATGAAGCGCTGCAGAGATTCGAAGAGCCATGGGAAGCGCGCAAGTGGGGACAGGATCGGAATCATGCCCGCCACACGGTAGGTCGAAACCAACGTCGCAACATCAACAAACGGGGCCACCAGGACGCTGCCAGCAAATACCACGGGTGGTGTTTGGACAGCAAGGTCGCGGGTGATGGCAAGGCTGACGGCAGTCCCCATAGACTGACCGAAGATGAGAATGCGAGAGGGGGGAATGCCAGCGACCATCATGGCCCAGTCGACCGCCGCACGGGCGTCGGTGATCAGGCCCGCCTCCGAGGGTTGACCAGTACTCCGCCCAAACCCTCGATAATCAAAAGTGAGAACATGGATCTTCTCTGGCTGGCCAGCGGACAGCGCCCGGTAATTGGGAACGCGATAGCCCGAACCCACCGTGCCCCCAGCACCATGCATGTGCAAGATCAGGCGAGCGTCAGGATCGTCGCGCAGAAGCTGGAAGGAGAGCCGGGAAGTAATATCAGAGACTAATCCTGCGGGCTCCGCAACCAGGGATTGTTCGTGTCGACGGTACAGTTCCACCGGCAGAATGTGCCAGGCGTAAAGCTGCTCTCCATCGAGGGTCCGGATTGCAAAAGGGGTGACCTGGTTGCGTAGAAAGCCAAAGGTTTCAAAGACATTGAGGTCTTTAAACCATGCCATTTCGATGGCAGGCAAGTACACCACGTGGGATTGGAATGTTTGCGTTGTCAGCAGGCCCAACAGCGTCGCGTATAAGCCGACCGCGATGGCGACTGAAAGAGAAGCATACTTGAGTAGAGAGGCCAAAAGGCTGCTGGCCGCCATGATGAAGCTGTAATGGATTCAGCACCCAGATAAGTGATAGACGGATCGTAGGATGGGTGCAAAGATCCGGGGGTCAAGGGAAATAAGGTGTTTTTGGAGGAATCATGAGTAGTCGTAACAAACATCCTTGTGCTGCCGGGCGGCTTCTGCGACCGTCAGTTTGGCTGCGCTGCGATCCCCTGTGTACCTTCCGGAGATCGCCATCGCGGCTGCAATCTAGATAGCGGGAATGGGAGATTTAGTTCCACAGTATGACAAGAATGTCATCGAAGGAACTTGAGTACCTCTATCTTCTTCGTCCGGTGAGGAAGGGGAGCAAAGGGCAAGAAAAATCGACGAAACAAATGACAGGCAGCTGCCCAGGCGTTGTCGTTGCCTGAGGCACCCATAAAATGCGCCCCAAGACGGTCAATTTCTGGTAAGAAAACCGGCAGAAGAAGCGTCGTAGCAGTGGTATCACATTATGCCTGCGGTTTTTCAATTTTCTTAGGATGATACGTCTCAATTCTTCAGATGCTGGGCACCAGTACTAATAAGAAACAGTGGTAGCCAGCCGCTCACTTCCTTTTGGCTGTCTTGCGGCCAGCTACTACTACTAGTACTAATGAATTTTACATGTTACAACTGACTAGTTAGGTTACCGTTTGTACTCAGTACTACTTCTTTTTGGCCCCCCTGCGATTGTCATTGGCTTACCACCATGTCTGGTGTATCTATTTTCATTCTTGTGTCAAAGCTTGTCCGTATCTAGCTATATTCCGGATTGCTCAACCAATGCTACTGTACCATGATTATCTCGTACATTCATTCCAGCCTTCCATCCTCTCGGGCCCCCGATGAGACCGATAAGCCGAAGACCGAGCACATGAGCAGCCCCTCCAGTTCATTCGACCACTATATATCTGACCGGTAAGCATATATTTGTAGTATCTTTCAGTTTTCCCATCATATTCTGACATCGTACCAGTATAAGCCTTCTTCCTTCCTGTCAACATGTCTCCTCGCACTGTCATTGTCATCGGCGCCACAGGCTCACAGGTCCGTTGCATGCTTAGATCTTGCTAAACATTGCAGTATATTTCTTCTGGTCGCTGATACGTATACAGGGAGGTCCTGTCGCTAGGGAGCTCTTGAAAAGCCCGCATCTGTACCACGTCAGAGCTTTGACGCGCGATCCGAGCAAGCCAGCAGCACAAGAGCTGGCAGAACTTGGGGCAGATGTTCAGGCGTTTGATCTAAATGCTGGCATCGACGCCCTGCTTCGGGCGTTCACGGGCGCTGATGCCATATTTGCTATGACAGACTTTTGGGCAACACGCTCAGCCAAGGCAGAAGCTACCCAGGGCCGAACCATTATAGACGCCGCAGCTCTTACCTCAAACCTTGAGCATTTCATCTGGAGCTCACTACCAGATCCTGAAAAGGTTTCTGGGGGCATCTTGAGAAATATTCACCACTGGAAGAGCAAGAGTCTAGTTGCAGACTACATACAGCAGCAGTATCCAGAGTTGTGGGGCAAGACTACCGTTGTGCTCTTTCCCAACTATTTTGAGAACTGTCTGTCTCATCCCGAGCGCTACCTCTCCCAGCCCGTTGGTCTACCTTGTTACTCATTACCACATTCTTGATACTTGACATACAATCTTACCAGGTGATTCTAGGATGCGCAAGGCGTGCATCATATGTACTTGCCACACAGCCCGTCCACTGTCATGCCGAACGGATCGATTCGCGACACAGGCAAGCTTGTTCGACTATTCCTGGAAGATGGGGCCACCTACTTCACAAAGACCGTGGCTTTCTATAGTGAAGCCATTTCGGAGGCAGCGAAGCAAGCCATGATTGGTAAAAGTAACTACACCTACATAAATTTCTATCTGGTGTTACATGATCTGTTGGACTTACGGAAAATATTCCAGAATATGGCTTGCAAACAATGTACCATGTGATTAGCCCTGATGAGCATCAAAAGAAGCTGGAGAGTCAAGGTCTATCTCCTGAGATTGCTCTGGATTATACTGAGCAGCTCTTGATGTTTGAGAATTTTGGAAACGTGTGTGATGCACCAGGAATTATCCAGGCAAATGAGGTACGTAAAGCCTTAATAACAAAACTGATCAATACACCGGAATTAAGACAACGCAGATTTCAGGTCTTCGCCTTCAGTCGTGGGCTGAGTTCCTAGAAGAGAATGACATTCTTGCAAACATGAATGCTGTCTGATGAATCTCAGCATATACAGCAGATTTGATATTGTCTTTGTGTCTGGGATTCTTAGAAATCACAGAGCACTTTCACGAGTTTGATACATTCATGTGCCCCAAATAATAGATTCCCTGCCCATCCCCCCTCTGCCTGAGGCAATGACGGAGGAATATTTATCCGAGGCACCTGATCGGGGGTAGGACAGAGGCCCTATTTTGTTGTCAGCTTATTCAATGACTTAAAGCGTTCTTAATGAACTTATAGTTATGCGTCCTCTATATATGAGTGTATCAGCAGAAGCAGTAGACTATGAATTCAGCGGAACGGACATTTTTTTTCAAAGGTGAACCATACCCAGCCGGATACCAAGGCAAGCCTGACCGATAAGCCTTGAGAGGATCAGCAGAGGATCAGCAGAGTACCCACAGGCGATGGACTGACTGGTTATACTCGGGTACAGACATGCAAGTAGCACAAAGGTAGATCAACCAACAACGACGTTTACACAGTGCATGGCAATGGACCTTCAGGGGTTCCTTTTGATGTGAAAAGGATCAGAAGTAACATTTCCTTCCGTACCACCTGCATGCCGAATACCTGAATTCCCCGACCGGTTCAGCAATCCATCTCCGGCGGTGTAACTGGTTCCCTATGGATCGCATGGTCATGCTCGTCTTCATCTTTCATCATGTCCCTACTTTTCCCAGAGTCCTGCACCCCTTCCACTTTGAGTGGCCTGCCTTTCAAAACACGAGAACCCCAACGCACTGGTCGCCCGTAGATAATGAAAAGATGGAATACTTGCTGGCCATGATACGAGGGCGGATCCTTTTCACTTCCATTCGCAGCGTTGCTTACGGTCGAGGCGCCTGTGATTTGTCCGTCCGTCTGCTCCTGTGGGGAAGCGGCCGCAGCCACATCCAACAACCAATGCCCTAAGTGGAAAAGTGGACCAGGTCAGCGAAGGATGGGCACTGCCCGATGCCATCTGACCCAACGTTTCAGTGCCCTATAAATCCAACCCCGAGCCACATGGGATTCAGTGACATCCCAAAGTGATATTCAGTCACCCATCATTACACTATGGCTACCTTCAAACCGCTCCTCCCACCCCGGGCTGTTCCACGCGACCGTGGCGATGGCCCGACTCCACTGCCCGACTCCACGAGATCTTTCTCGCCCATGGTTCGCGACAACCTTACCCTCTCCTCGTGGCTCCTCCTGGGTGGCCTCGTGCAAGGCTGTGCATTTCTACTGCTGGGTCCCCTGTCCCTGCTTCCGACCGCGGCAATCCTCCTCTACAGAACCATCGACCATCTGCTGATGGCCTGCCACCTGACCCCCAACCGGTACCTGGCGGGATCCATCCCTATCAAGCGCAGTGCTCAGTATCCCCGGCCCGATGGCACCTTTGGCAGTGAACCGGCGGGCGAGTCTATCGTGGTCTTCCATTTGGGTGCACGCTGCCACCATCCTCTCGGGCTGCTCGCTCCAGGCATGAAGGAATTGGGCGACAGTGCCGATAAGATGCGACGGAACATGCGCGCCAACCCTGTCAAGTACGGTCTATTGGGCTCCTCGCACTGGCTGAAGAGCGACAGTGCAGCGGGTAATGAGTCCATGACCATCTTCTACCTCCGCGACTACGCTGCTCTCCATCAGTTCGCGCACGATGAGATCCACATGGAAGGGGTGCGCTGGTGGGCCCGCATCGCCAAGGACCATCCGCATCTGGCCATTTACCATGAAACCTACCTGGTGCCGCGCGGAAACTGGGAGAATATTTACATTAATGGGTGGTCGACTGGTCTGGCCGATACCTGGTTTCCCGTGCAGAGTCAGGCTGACAAGGAAAAGAATACCGGAGTGGTTGAGCAATGGGTGCGACCGTTGGTTGATGCGCGTGACGGTGCCTTACGGTCGGCCAGTAAGCGGCTGCAGTTGACACGCCTGGAGGGTCGTGAGAAGGAGCACGATGATATGTATAACCAACCTGAGGGCCTGTGATCGGCAGCTACACGATTATCAGCGCAGGAAATTCATGCACCTCTCCTCTCCACTTTTGTGATCTCTTCGATTTAGCCCATTTTCTATCGTAATTTCATCATGTGCACTGAATCTGTCTCTCACTGCTTCGCCCCGGATCCTTAATCCTCCAGGAAGAAACTAGAGCGGACTAACCTCCTTCGAGTCTGCTGCGGTGGTGTTAGTGGCCGCGCTAGACGGCGGATGTCTGCATGCCGATCAATCACAATCCAGACGGAATTTGCTGGCCAATCCTCTGTTAGCCATTTTCGTCTTTCTAGGCGTTAATCCTCTTTTCGTTCCCCTCGCGTATCGCCACGATTCGGAACAACGCACTTCAACTGAGCCTTCCCGTACATAGGAGCATGGACCATCCTAACACGCTGCTACCGTTTCGTTCGGACTCTACGCGTCGTCGACCTGGCTGCAAGAGATCGAGAACGGGATGTCGCACTTGTCGGTAGGTCTACGAAAATGACCCAGGTCCCCACCTGTCGCTACTGACTTGGAGCAGAGCTCGCCGCGTGAAGTGTGACGAAACCCCACGCGCCTGCCACAGATGTACCTCCACGGGTCGCGTATGCGATGGCTACGAGGTGCAGAGACTGCCTTTGGTGAAGAATCCCGGGACTAAGATCAGCGCTGACCTGGGAAGTGGCTTCCGATGGACCATCACCTCCGACGAACGCCGCTGTTTCTCCTACTTCCAGCATCATACAGCGCCCACCTTCCGCGAGATGTTCGACTCCACTCTCTGGCAGCATCTCGTGCTGCAGATGGGTCAGTCGGAGCCAGAGGTGTATCATGCGACCGTGGCCCTCAGTGCGATCCACAAAGACTCAGAGACCAGAGGAATGCCCCTGGCTGCCAACTTCCCCGGGAGGAGCCAAGGCCCATGGCTGCGCTTTGCGCAAGAGCAGCTGGGCCGTGCTTTTCAGATTCTCATCCGGCGCCGGGCCTCCCCTGATCCCCGGTTGCGCAACGTCACCCTCCTCTGTTGTTTGCTCTTTGTCCTGTCCGATCTGCTGCAGGGACAATACGACGGTGCCTTTACCCATCTCCAGAGTGGTCTGCACATCCTCCGCGAGCTTCAAGCAGAGCGAGAATTGGTGGCACCCACGCCCCGCCAAGATCTGGTGGAACGGTGTCTGGTGGCTGCCTTTGCACAGCTCGACATTATTTCCGCTCACTATGGAGTCGGGGGACCTCTGCTGTGCATCGATACCCTGCCGACCCAGTGGCAGTCGCGACCGACATCAGCGGTCGGCTTCGCCAACCTGAAGGAAGCTCGTGCTGCCTTCAACCTCGTCACAAGCGCTGCGTACCGTTTTATGATCTCAGGTATGGGAATGTCAAAGGAAGAAATCACGCGCAACTACACTATTATTCAATCGAGCCAGCTGCGGGCCCGGTCCCTGGCCTCCCGGTTTTGGCATTCCTTCGAGCCATTCTACCGCAGCTCCTACTATGCCCTGGATCGCAAAGAGCAGCGAAGTGCCGAATTGATTCATCTCCAATACCTCGCTCTGATGGTGTCGCTGGACACAACCCCCCTGGCCGGAAACGAAGCTGCCCTAGCTGCCTTCACGCCTGCCCTCGACAAGATTGTTTCCTTTGCTGAGTCAATCATGGCCAGGTTTCCTGAGCGTCCCACCATCAGTATTGACGTGGGCGTTCTTCCACCATTGTACGATGGGGCCATGATTTGTCGGGATTATCGCGTTCGATGGAGAGCCATAAAGCTCCTTAGGGCGTGGCCGCATCGAGAGGGCCCTTTTGATTCCAATTGGATTCTCGCCCTGGCGGAAGAGGCACTGCGTCTGGAATTGCTGGCCGATCCCGCCGTCAGCCTAGAGGAACCTGCAGCGTCTAGTATTGTCCACGACGATGAGTTCGCGCCTTGCCGCATGCTGCGGGACCTCAATGAGCGACGGTCGCAGATTAAGCAAGTATTAGCCCAAACGGGAGGCGTGTTGGGCGATGCAGCTTCTCCAGCAGACTGTTTAGGCGCTGTCAAAAGTGTGGCTGGGTGGTCATGCATGCGTGCGTTTAAGGCGAGGTTTCCGAATTCCTAAACCCCTGTTCCGATCTAGGGTCAAGACTGTTGTGGGTCAAGCGTCTTTACATACATCACTCAGCACACCACTCCGTAGTCTACAATATCTACTATCTATTCATGAAGTAATCATGACAAACCTCGTATCAACAACCAAGCTCGTATCCTGCAGAGTGCTAGAATGAACGGCTCACTCCTTCGCCTCATCACAAGCACTAGCCCACGACTCGGGAAGCTGTGCTGCAGAAGCTAAACTGGCTTAGGCTCTTCTAATCTTGATTCAGACTACCGTCGCTAACTAGTAGCTGAAGAAACCAAGTTGGGTGGATATGAGGCTGAAGGCTAGGGTCCTTGGCTCCTCCACTTCGGCTTCCTTCCATCCAAGTCGACTTGTGATGACGTGTCCAGGATGGCTGCTAGCCTAGCATCATCACAGATGTTCACGGCTGCGGAAGAAGTATTGCCCATTGGGTGCCTCCTACCGGTGAAGAATCGTCTATATAAGGACATCACACACCCAACAGACTCTTAACAGTCACTCAGGTATACCAATAGCAACAATGAAGGCCTCATCCACAACCACCGTCCTCTCTGGACTTGTCGCCATCGGCAGCGTGGCTGCCAACCCTCTGCGTCCCCTGGGAGACTTGACCAAGCGCAATCCGGACGGCAACTTCACCCTCTACGCCTATGGACTTACCTCTGAACCCGTCAAGTTATTCTACGCTGATGGTAAGACCAACCCCCCTTTACCACTATCATTAATACTGACTGAACATAGGACTGGCCTACTTTGGAACCGCCTCCGACTGGACCTACGGCTCCGTCGTGACCGACATCACCAGTCAGTTACCCCTCCCTCCCCTCTCAAGACCCATGGCAGCACTAACCCCACACAGTGACCTACAGCTCCGACGAAGTCTTCGCCGAGGCTCTCACCGAGGGCGTGACCCTCCCCGACGACACTCTACTGTACATCCGCCCCAACGCGGACGAGGTCACCGAGGTTGGCTTCACGGGCGATGACACCCCCTCGGATGCCGTAACTGATCAATGGATCTGGTATGGGGGCTGGATCATGTATGAATCCGACTCTGGGGAGCTGTTTGATACGTTCTATGTCAAGGATACCAATGTCTCGACGGTGTGGCAGCTGTTTTGGGTGCCTGCGGGGGTGTCGAGTAGTGGGTATACGTTTGCGAATGTACGGGATGTTGCTTGATTTCTTTCCCGCTCTATCCCGACCGGGGATGAGTATCGGATGGGATGCCCATTTGTGGATGATAGTATGGTGGTTAGCATTTAGTGATGACAGATATCAATGTCAGCGTGCGCCGTTGCATAGTCCGAAGTCGAAGTCATTATGTTCGTCTAGTACAAAATCCGAACTCTTGGTACTTGAGGCCTGTACTCACTTTCTGTTTGTGTATCTTAATCAGTTAAGCAAGCAATAATCATAGCAGAATCATGACATTCTATATCCAGAACTCCATACCCAAAGCAAATCTATAAGAACATCACAATCTAGACACATGCCAATTCTAACCACTATTCACTCCTCAGCTCCGTCAATCTCTTGCCAAAGTACCTCTCCACCTTCTTATTCTCTCCCCCAACACTTCCCGCCATCCCCCTCATCCTCTCCTTAATAGCCCCATACCCCTGTCCAGACACAATCATCCCCAACGCCTCCAAAATCAACTTCTCCACGCCCTGAATCTTCTCCTTTTCAATACACTCCGTATCATGCTCCAGCCGCATCAAAATAGTTCGATCAGAAATGGCACAAAACTCCACCAACAACGCAAACTTCGACCCCTTCGTATACGTAACCAACGGATCGAGTCCCTCGACCGGCAACTTCGGCGACGAGCGATCATCATGGAAAGTAACCATGACATCCAACAAGGGATGATTCGGGAAATCAGTCATCTCGGCAGCACCCACCGCCTCAAGCAGCTGGTTCCATGGAATCGCATGCGCAATGGCCGACTGGCTGGACCGTTGGACGGCACGAACGAAGGATTTGGTCGATGCGGCGGTCGGATCCCGCGAAGCCGAGAACTGGATACGAATAGGGATGGGTTCTAGAAACAATCCGACCGTGTCGAGATCGTCCTGTCCGCGGTTGAAGTATGGTCCACCCAGGACGACGTCCGTGTCGTTGCGATGAGACTGTAGGGCTAGTGCCACCGAGGCTAGTGCTAGCTGGTGCAGCGTGACGCTGTTCGTCTCGGTGTATTGAATGGCCTGTGTAGCGAGACTCTGGTCCAGTCGGACGAGGTGTGTCTGGCCGCCGTAGCTGGAGCGGTGGGTCAGGTTGGGGATGCTGTATAGGGCTTCCCGCTGGACGGTGGTGTTGCCTAGGTACCGCACCCACCAGTCGCGCTCGTTGGCGGTTGCCTGGGAGCTCCATTGCGTTGTCTCGTGGTAGTTGCGCTTCACGGGGCCGAGGCCATCGCCGCGGTACAGACGGACCACTTCGCCCAGAATGACCTGTAGGGTGGTGAGGTCGGCGATGAGATGGCTCATGGCGACGAGCATCATGGACTTGGAGACGATCACTCGGATCGGGTGCTGGCGATCAGGGTGGAAGGGTCTGTTGGCTTCGCGCCAGAGGTTGAAGCCGTGGACGCGCATGACCTGCGGACAGTAGCGAGCGTAGGTGCGTCGGGGTCCCTTGCCGCGGTAGTCGAGGTGCGAGCGACTGCGGAAGATGTCGTGGCGGGCGAGCACGGCGTTCCAGCAGGCGATGAGATGCTCGCTGTCTACCTTAGTGCTGTCGATCTTGCAGGCGAAAGTAACATTGAAGGCGGACGTGCCGAGTTGCAGCTGGTACTTCTCCAGCCATTCTCGCTCAATGGGAGACACGCGGTTACGACCGAGGGGTTTGATGATCGATGCATCTGGGGAGGAGATCTGAGAGATGAGACCGTCCACTGTCTGGGCCAGTTCGGAGAGGTTCGCGGCTTGGATGATGCGTGGGACGGGCACCTTCACCCCGAAGGTTTGGGAGACTCTGCTGGCGAGACGGAGTTGCATGACGGAGTGGCCGCCCAGCTCGACGAAGTTGGATTCCGGAGTGAGGGCATCGCTGTCTGAGCCCAGCGAGAGGAGATCCTTCCACAACTCGGCAAGGGAGTGCTCCGTCTTGCTGGAGAGGGTGCGCTTGGCGGCTGGTTGAGCTACCACTGTGCACTGGTTGGCGATCTCCTTGTAGTCGAGCTTGCCAGCAGGCGTCATTGGGAACTTGTCGACCACCATGATACGACGGGGCATGGCATGCACTGGCAGCACCTGGGACATGCGCTGGCGGACATCAGTGACCTTGAGAGTCACCGGCTGGATCATGGCAACGAGGTAATCGTCCTTGGGGCAGATAGCGACCGCGGTGGATTCGGGAATGGCATTGGCAACGCGGATCTCTAGATCATTCAGATCAGTGCGGTAACCGCGCAGCTTGATCTGGCGATCATTGCGACCGAGACATTCAACCTGGCCGAATCGGTTGAAGTAGCCGCGGTCTCCAGTGCGGTACATCTTCTCGCCTGGGCGTGCAACAATGTTGTCGGGCAGGAACCGCTCCGCGTTCAACTCAGGACGACCGAGGTAGCCGTTGGCTACCTGCACACCGGCGCAGTAGATTTCCCCGACCACTCCGGGAGGGAGGAGCTGCCCGTTCTGGCCGAGGATGTAGATGCGCGTGGTGGCGTTAGGGCCGCCGATGGTGACGGGCTGGCCAGGAAGCAGACGTTGGATGGTAGCACCGCAGGTGGCTTCGGTAGGGCCGTACATGTTGTAGAGGGTAGTGGCGCTGGACCAGACGTCGTTGACGTACTGTGGCACGGGTTCACCAACGAGGTAGACGGTGCGCAGCTCGGGGAACTGCTCAGGCAGGAGGATCTTGGCCACGGAGGGGGTCAGAATGGCGGCGTTGCTCTTCTTCAGGTGGGCAAACGTGTCGGCACCATCAGCCAGTACTAGAGTAGCGCCGTAGCAGAGAGCCGAGAAGATCTCGTGGATGCTGCCGTCAAATGCGGGCGACATGAGCTGCGAGATGCGCTGGCCAGGAGCGGCGAAGAGTCGGACCTCGAGATCTTTCTGGAAGGCTACGAGACCGGCGTGGTGGCACATCACTCCCTTCGGCTTGCCGGTCGAGCCGGAGGTGAAGCATAGATAGGCGTTGTCTTCGGGCTGGGGTGCGGATCGGTGGTGGGGAGTGAAGTTGTCGGGGATAGTGGCGATCAGTTCCTCGACGGAGAAGCACAGGTTGCATGCTTCGGGAGCAAGATGCTTCTGGGACGTGGCAGGCGTGAGGTACAACTTCCCACCGGCTGTCTGAAAGTTGGTGTTGCGGATGTGGTCGGGCAGACCAGGGTCCTGGGCAGAGTAGACGCCACCAGCCTTGAGGATGCCGTAGATAGAAACGATCCAGTTGATGGACCGGTCGGCCAAGACGCAGACGACTTCGCCAGGTTGAATCTGCAAATTTGCAGCCAGGATGCTGGCCTGTCGATCCATCTCCGCATATGTCAACTGAGTGCCAGCCTTTTCCACAGCGATGCCGTTGGGAGTCTCGCGGACAGCGCGTTCGAAGAGCGTGACGAGGTCGTCGTGGATGGAGCACAAGGAGGTCGAGTCAGTCTGGCAGTTCCCCATCTGCATGAGGGTCTCCTTGCAGTCGTCGGTCAGGATGTTCTTCATGCAGCCCTCCATGGTCTGCTCAAACAAAAGCAGATTCAGTGCATGATGGAAGTGGTCTGCAAGCATCTGAATGTCCACACGATGGAACTGTTGTGGCCGGAAGCACAAACGCAGAGTTCCAGTGTATGTCGTGTAGATCGACAGAGGAGTGTCGGGCACGACGCGGAACCATGACTCCTTCACGGGTCGGACTGCGTGACTGTCAGATGCCTGCATTTCGAACTCCATCGCCAGTGCAGAGGTGAAGTTGCGGGTGTATCCGTCATCCGGGACGGAACTCTGTACTGATGCCAGCTGGACTGAGTGGGCAAACACCGCACGGAGATACTCCGCAGTCGACAATTTGCGGTCGATGGACACATGGAAGGGCAGCACGTTGATCAGCGGGCCAATGGTATCCTCAATGCCTGCGATAGGCAAGTTACGACCAGCCAGGACGGTGCCAAATACAACAGAATCAGAGTCGGTATACAGAGAGAGTGCCATGGCCCAGGCAGCGTGGTACCAGGCAGACAGAGAGACACCAATTTGACGAGCACGAGTGGAGATCTCTTCCAGGGGAACATTGAAAGTGACATTGTCGATACCCGCAGGCATCTCTTCACGGACTGGAGGAAGAACGAGTTCAGCGGCAGGCTGGGGATGCTTCTCCCGCTGCTGCGCCCAGAATTGCTGGTGAATTTGGCGATGTTCCTGTTGGAAGACACGGAGTCGGTTAGCCACCTCGCCGAATGGGGCACCGGCGGTGATAGCACGACCATTGATGACATCGCGGACTTTGCCGTAGACAAGCTGACCAGACATCCCGTCGACAAAGGCGTGGTGGACACGCCAGATGACCGTGCTGATGCCTGCTGAAGGCAATGTCACAACCTCAAATGCACACTGAATGGTATCCGGGTGAACGTCCCGCGCGATGGCAGCATCATAGGCTTCCTGCGAGTCGACCACGGTTTCCGTCCATGTGAAAGGTGCCGACGGTGTTTCATGGCAGGCATCTGACTCGAAGGACATGCGGAAGATGGGCTCGGTCTGGATGACAGCCTGCCAGGCGGCTTTAATGACAGGCAGGTGGGCCGTCTCGTATGTTTCGAAGAAGTTGATCATGTTGGAACCCGGGGTCGTTTCGTGGCTGTGCAGAAATGACATCTGCATTTCTGTCAGGGCAGATGCTGTGTTGCTGCGAGGCACATCCTTCTGGACAGGGGCTGACCGCGTCTGGGGTGTTGCTGGTTGGTAAACGACAGGCACATGGGTCGTTACTGGACCCTCAACAACGGCGGAAGCCACGAGCTCGGCCATGCTGCTGCTCAGGAGAATAGACTCCATGGTCAAGGCAATACCGTCGCGCTTACATGCGGAGGCCAGCCCCAATGCAAGCAATGAATGGCCACCCAGGTTGACGAAGCTGGACTCCAGGTCCACGCTCTCAAGGGGAAGTTGAAGAAGCCGGGCGGCATGGGAGACGATGATCTGTTGGGACTGCATGATGCTAACAAATGCTAAACAAGAAAGGTGCTAATGATACAAGTCCTCAAGTGGTGTGTAATCTTAAGGGATTCTAGACGATTGAGGGGAAAGACTGTGATATTTCCGATGTGTTGCTGCGCTGATGATAGAGTTGATGCCACGAGCAGACTCCTCTGCTTTTATGGTCGTCCATTTCGTATAACTTCACTTCCAAGCCGCTTCAAGTAACTCATTCTGCCAGACGCCTTAGACTCTCCTCCGATGACGCCTTTCTCCTGGACAACAAATCCGGCAGGATCCCTGCCATCTCCGAAAACGTGGCCGCCAGGATCTTGCAGGAATCACGATGTGAGTCGAAGTATGAGTCGAGATGCAAGCTGAGATGTGCCTGCGGAATTGAAACCCGCTAGTTTCAGAACACGAACGGTTGAATTCGGCCCCCAAACCCGCGATCGATGATCGTACGGGGGCCCCGACTCGTATTAGAGTAAGCATTTAGGGCAGCTCCCCAGGGTTTGCAGAGTCTCGGATCCGCTGTCGGATCCGGCATGCCTTATGCTTCATCTGACAAGTCGTTCTCTCTTCCCTGCCATCGAAGTCGGCTAGAATCACCTTATTTGCCTATAAATAACACACTTTGCTCGTCCTAACCGGTGACTTCCATCCACATCCACATCCATCCAGCTTCTCAACTCCATCTCTCTCAGACACATCAACCTTGAAAATGACTCCTCCTAAAATTGCAATCATCGGCGGTGAGTCTATTCCTCTGCCAATGTTATAGTTCAAGGCTGACTTCACTAGCGGGCCCTGCCGGTCTTACCTTGGCCCGTTTGCTGCAACACAACGGCATCCCCTGTATCGTCTACGAGGCAGAGGAAAACCGCCATGCCCGTACTCAGGGTGGCTGCCTCGACATCCACGAGGGGTCTGCACAAGTGGCCCTGCGGGAGTGTGGTCTTTTCGAAGAGTTCCTTGCAGTTGCCCGCACGGAGGGCGAGGTGTTGAAGATTTACCAGCCCGACGGTGCACTGCTGCTCGACGAAGGTTCCGATTACGGCGAGAAGCGCCCAGACTCTTTCAATGGACGTCCAGAAGTCGACCGGGTCAAGCTGCGCAGCATGCTCATTGATTCGCTCGAATGGGGCAGTCTGCGCTGGGGCCACAAACTTAAGAAGGTCACCACTGAAGCTACGGGCACCTGTCTGCAATACGATCTGCACTTCCACGACCACACCGAGACGGGGTTCGACCTGGTGGTTGGCGCCGACGGGGCCTGGAGCAAGGTGCGCCACTTGCTCACGGACACCCGGCCCATTTTCTCGGGCATCTCTGGCGTAGACTTCAAATACAGCGCCATCGACGAAAAAGACCCGGCTCTAGCCCAGCGCGTCGGCAAGGGCATGTGCCTGACTCTCGGCAGCCACACGACTGTACTGTCGCAGCGGAACGGCGATGGCTGCGTCCGGACCTACGGGTTCATGCGGCTGCCGGAAAACTGGCACACGACGTGCGGCATCGACTGGACCCAGCCGCAGCAGGCCAAGCGGGAGTTTGTCGATCGCTACTATGAAGGGTTCAACGATGACTCCAAGAATCTCATGCTGGAAGCAGACGACGATTTGGTGCCCCGCCCCATGTACATGCTTCCCATCGGTCACAAGTGGCAGCACCGTGCAGGGTAAGTTTCAGTTCTCTTCCTGTTGCTGTTTCTCTTCAGACAAGTTGGGCTGAGCTAATTTTGGTTTTAGTTTGACTCTTATTGGCGATGCCGCCCACTTGATGACACCATTTGCGGGAGTTGGCGTGAATGTGGGGATGGAAGATGCTCTAGAGCTGGCACGGGCCATCATCGCGCGCAAGAGCACTTGGGAAGATGGCCAGCCCTTTGCAGGTGCAAATAGTCTCTCCGCCGCAGTGGGGCAATACGAACAGGCCATGTTCCCTCGTGCTGAAGGCTACGCCCGTGAGACGTGGATGTATCTGAACCTGTTCTTCAACGAGCGGGGCGGTTATGCCATGTGCGAACACTTTGCCAAAGCGAAGGAGCAGGCTAAGGAGGCTGCAGTGGAGAAGAAGCCTGAAGAGGCGGAGAAGACTGGGGAGGTGAAGGAGACGGTGGTGGAGAAGGCTATTGCTGTGGAGTAAATCTGTCATCTGTTATTTGTTTCTAGAGCTATACCCAATTTAATCTTTCTCTTCATCCACTTGTTTCCATGGTAAATCTTGGCGATCGATTCGATGTAACGTAGTTGTGTGGGCTCGCGATTACTTTCCCTGTGGGAATATAAGTTTTGCAGAGTTGGAGATTGGAGAAGCGGCTCAGAAAAAAATCACCCTGCAGAACCAACACTTTAGGCACTGACAGGCGATTGGGGGCCAGCCAGACGTTGTTTGAAAGTTATCAGTAGACCCTGACTGTCGATCACCATAGCCGATGTTTCAGATGTCAACTCTATTCACGGGTTATTTTTCCAGCAACTCTGCCTTGCCAGCTGTCAGAAACCTTATGATAAAATGCCAGGCTGCAAACTTCAATATTCTTCGCAGTATTGACTGGGATATCGACTAGTGTCAGCCTTGTGTGACCCGGTGATAAGCTTAACAGAGGAGATAATCCAAAAATAATGAGGACGGGAGAGCAGAGCAGGAGGCGCACATAAGCTTCTCGTATTGCCCGCACAGCCGATAATCAACAACAGAGGCAATGCTGCTGACTGTCTCTGTGTCAGAGTTATTCCTTTGATGAGTCAACTGCATTACCAACTGGCCGTTTCTTGATCATGTGAAAGTTCCGAGGATAACCGTTTTGCTTGGCAAGACATTTTGTGAAACTTAGAAAAGTATTGAATGCTGTTTTAACTCCAAACTATCGAAGTATCCTGTTTAACCCGCAAATCAACAGGAGTGCTTAGTGGTCCTTCCACAATGCAATCTCGTACACAAAACACAAAACAATCACAGCACAAAGACACTAATTCCAACACTGTTCACTAGTAAGAGTGAGGCCCGTTCATCTCTCCCGTCATCTTTCCTTCCGCCTTCAAGATGGCCGTGATGTTGTTCATAGCGCTCTCGTGGAATCCCGCAAAGTCTGCCCAGCATTAGTAACACAACCAGTGGTCCTCGGAAGCAATAAGACGTACCGTAAGCAGAGGAGAAACAGGCATGGATGTTCCACAGCATGTACGTCTCCTTCTTGCCAATGGCGTGCACATCCACCCACTCCCAGGTGCCACCAAGCTGGCCAGCGGGTCCGGAAGTAGTGTTGTAGTAGAAGGGCACGTCAGCCAGTCCGAAGGTGAGCTGGTAGCCCTTGTTGCGCGGCAGCCACTTGAACGTTCTCAACTGGTGACACAGTTAGCCGTGCTCAGATGCTTGCCTCAAAGTATCTCTCTCACCTCTTCGGTCATCGGATACACGCCCGCGTTGGGAAGCTCTCCATACAGAACGCGCTCGGCTCCCGGAGTGTAGGGCTCGCCATGGGTCTCGGTGGGACTGGTACCAAACCAGGCCGTTTCAAAGACTATCCCGGTCAGCCATGGCATATCGAGTAAGCACGAGGTTTCACAAACAGTTGGCAGTAATGTCCGAGATTTCCTTTGCAGGCACTGGCCAAGTCGCCCAGCTGGTGGAGTTTTGCAAGAAGGTGCCCGCAGGACACGAACAAGGACGAGGGGTCGCGTCGCAGGCAGGGAGAACCTTGTTGTTGCCCCCGGTTGGCAGGGCCAGGGCCGAGAAGACGAAGGTTGCAAAGGCAAGAGGAAAGTACATCGTGGCTGATGGAGATGGAGATGAGATTGTAGAGATTGAGATCGACAGAGAGTCGCTGGGATTTTGGTTTCTTGAGGTGATTGCTGTGATTGAAGCGTTGAGACTGTTCATGGAGGTTCATCAACTTCCAGTCTGGTTCTTTATATACTTCTTCAACGCTCTCATTTCAGTCTTGACCATTGTAACTTCCTTGGTCTCGCCCCCACTCGTTTGAATCCTGTCTACATGTCCCTCTTGGTATGACTCCTGATCCGGTCCGGTGTAGCGAAGGTGTACCAGTACTGGCATTGTGGTCTCAGCAGAGGAATGTTTCGAGAAGCATAGCCACCTCCCCGCTCGTGATACGAACTTCATCCTTCGTATCCTTTGTCCAAAAATGCTAGGCATGACATAACATTGAAGTCAGTTTATCCGGCTGTTGATTGGATACTGATGGGATGGTTCCGCACGGATGGGATCCATGGTTTCAGCTTGAAGATTTACATTCCCGATCAGCACTAACATCTCACCTCGTCGCATGGCATGGCGATGAGCCTCCTGCAACTCGTATACTATCCGAACGTCGTTAGAGAGATCTATAGACCACGTCGGATAGCCACGTGGGGGCCAGGCAGGTGCATCTGCGCCTGTCAGAATCCTGCAGCGGACATGTCGGAGACTGCACCGGTTCGGATCCGATCGGACCAGCATGTATGTGTTGCCGTTCAGGCCGAAAGCTATTGAGATCCTTTATGTTGCGGAAGATTGCAAGGAGAATGGTATGATAGATCTAGTTGTATGGATGCTTCTGTCTCTCTTGTCCTAGAACAGTTACCATGGCTGGATCCATTGCCCTGAACACGCGAGACACCATTATTGAGATCCGGGTGCGCCAACCCGACGCCCTCCCGCCACCTACCAACACTACTACTCCTCGCATTGAGGAGGTTGAGGAAGAGCCGAGTGAACCTCATCAAGTTCCCGGGGAATGGCCCGATGTTCCCGTACCCGTTGCCAGACCCCGGGAAGGACTGGAACGCAACGCCAGCCGACGCAGCCGTACCAGACGGCTCAGCCAGCGTCTAAGTGTGTCCAGCGATATCTTTCATGATGCTATTGAAGCTCAGGGCTACGGAGGAGCCGGCACTGGGTCCAAGCGGCTGAGTGGAATTTATCGTCGTTCCATTATTGAAGACTCGGTTGAAGCTCTGGGTCTGACGGAACCGACCGAGCAACTCAAGGTCGAAGAGCAGGAGGAACCACCCACCAAGACCAAATACGGACCCCGAATATGGGCCATCATGGTGGCACTGTGTGTGACAAATCTTTTGGTCGCGTTGGAAGGAACAGTCATTTCAACGGCGCTGCCGACCATCGTGGAGGACCTGGGCGGCGGCGAAGCGTATGTCTGGGCTTCCACTGGATATTTTCTTACCAAGTAAGTTGTGCAACTATACACAGTAATTAACGTTGCTAATAGCATATAGTACCGTCTTTCAACCTCTGTATGGGCAAGTGGCTGATATCTTCGGCCGGCGATGGCTGATCATCTTCGCGGTAGCCATGTTCGTGCTGGGCAGCGGCATCAGCGGTGGTGCACCGAGCATGAACGTGCTCATCGCCGGTCGCGTCATTCAGGGTATCGGCGGTGGTGGTATTACACTGTTAGTGAACCTGATTGTGTGTGACTTGGTGCCCTTGCGCGAACGTGGTCGTCTCATGGCCATTGTATTTGCGGCAGTCTCTGTTGGCACCTCGTTGGGACCCATCGTCGGAGGACTGATAGTGCAACAAACCACCTGGCGCTGGGTCTTCTATCTCAATCTGCCGGTCGGAGGCATTTCCATGGTACTGCTCTTTGTCTTCCTGCAAGTCAGTCATCGCAGTGAGGAAACCTCCATCAAGCGCCGTCTGGAGCAGATCGACTATGGCGGCAACCTGATTTTCATCCTGGCCATCTCATTCATTCTGGTCGCCCTGGCGTACGGCGGCACACTCTGGCCGTGGAAGTCATTCTCGACCATTATCTCGCTGGTCTTTGGGTTCTATGGAATTGTTGTATTCATCCTCTACGAGCAGAGCAACTTCTGCCGCCAGCCCACACTGCCCATGCGTCTCTTCACGCGCCGCACCTCGGCCACCGCATTCACCATCACCTTCATCCAGTCCATGCTCACCCTACTCGTCATCTACTTCCTTCCGGTCTACTTTCAGGCCGTGCTTTTAGCCTCCCCAATACGGTCGGGTGTTATGATGCTCCCAACAGTACTGGTATTGGTACCGGCCTCGGTAGTCAGCGGTGCCCTGCTATCCAAATTTGGTCGCTACAAGCCCTTCCACTTTATCGGGTTCGCGCTCTTCACCCTGGGCTTTGGCTGCTTTATCACACTTGATGAAAACTCACCAGATGTTGCCTGGGTCATGGTGCAGATTGTCGTGGCCCTGGGGTCAGGCTCCTCTCTGAGCACGCTGCTACCAGCTGTGCAGGCTGAATTTTCCGACCAAGACACCGCAGCTGCTACAGCGGCGTGGGCTTTTGTGCGCCAGTTTGGTGTGGTCTGGGGTGTATCAGTACCGTCGGCAATCTTCAACGCTCAGGTGGAGCACGATCTCTCGGGGATCAGTAGTGACAGTGTCCAAAAGACGCTCGGCGGAGGCGCTGCCTACGAGCATGGTACTAAGGAGTATGTCAATTCGCTTACCGGGGATGTGCGAAAGCAGGTGATAGGGTTGTATGCAGACAGCTTGAAGATAGTGTGGGTTTTCGCGACTGTTATCGCTGGAGTTGGGTTCATGCTGGTGTTCTTGGAACGGTAAGTTGATCTTGTTGCTGTGTACGTTTGGATGGATGCTAATGGCTACAGTGAAATTACGCTGCGGACGAAACTGGACACGAAGTATGGATTGAAGGAGGAGAAAAACGGCGATTCATCTAATGCATAATGGTGTATATGTTATTAGGGCTTATTGTAATGACTTTCCCGGCTTTGTACATGGCGTTGGCGTCGTTAGTTCTTGGTAGTCTATGAATATGATGGTTTTGCCTTCAATATCCGCGTATCTATTTCATGCAATAATCATCATCGACAAGTATCACGACACCAACATCTTCAACGCTGCTAAATCTGCATCCTCGCACCACTTGCATCAACTCTCCATGTCCGTAATATCTCAGCTCACCACACGGGATTGCGCCATCTCACGGCTCCCGCTTGGTTCTGAATGGCTCGATCGCTTATTCCGGCCGCTCCTACAGGGCGTCTGTGCAGAGCCACGCGAGAAGAGGATCTTTTTTCAGACGGATCGTGCAAGATCTGACCGACCCACTCTGACTGCATCTCGTATTGCCATGTTTCAGCCTGCGGGTGAGCATATCCGGCCTCGGATCCGATTTCCTGCTCCGTGGCCCCCATGAGGCTATCCGCATCGGTCGCGCATCATTATTGAAGTATATAGATGGCCATGATGAACTCAGACTGAACCAAATATCAACTGCAATAACTGCCATCACCATGAATACGACAATTCTTTTCGCGGGCCAGGCTGTCCTCATCGTGGCCACCCTGGTGGCCGTCAAATTCCGCACACCCTTAACAAATACGGTAAACCGTTTGATCTCTGCTGTTCTTCGGGTAAGCATTTTCTTGATTTTAACCATGGCTTCAGCTTACAACAACTCAGGTCCATCTTGCACGTCGCTTTCCCGTACATCATGTCGACGATAACAGTCCGCTGCCCACCCTGCCGTACCAGTGGCCTGATGGACAAGGTGATGGGGCCAAATTCTTGCAAGGTCAGAGCAACTCAGAGCGCTGGGAGCGACAGTTTGGAGCCATCTACCGTCTCTGGTCCGGCATGAACCCAGAAGTGTACGTCTACATCCTGCTTCTTAATGACAACTACTGATCATTGTAGCGTGCTTACTCGTCCCGAACACATCCAAGCTGTCTTCAAGGATTCGCACACCCACCTCAAAGCCAAGAACAACAACTCGGGATATCTACTTGGTGAACTGCTAGGCCAATGTGTCGGACTGGTCAGTCAGGATCAATGGCAGCGCGTGCGGGCCATCATGGAGAAGCCCTTCCATCGCAACGCCTCAACGACGTATATCCCGCTCGTCAAGCGCCGCACGGAGCAATTTTTCCAGGAACTTTGGGACACCCGCGACCTGTCCCGAGGCTTCCTTGACCCAGCAGACGACCTCAAGTTGCTCCCCTTCCTGGTGGTCGCCGAAGTTGTCTACGGTCGCCTCGCCCCAGATGTCGAAGCCGAGCTGCGTCGCCTTGCCCCGCAACGCGAGAACCTGATGAAACATGTCATCAAGGGCGGATTGACTCGTTTCGCTTGGTCGCGTTTCCTCCCCACGCAAGCCAATCGTGAGCTGGCCGCCTTCCAGCAACGCTGGCTAGCCTTCAACGAGTTGGCACACCGTCGTGCCGTCGAGCAGAAACTCAACGCCCCCATCATCGACTTCTTCGCCGCCCGGGATGCCGGTCAGATCAGCACCCAGGAACTTCTTCACACGCTCGACGAGATGCTCTACGCCAACCTCGACGTGACCATTGGTGGTGTTAGCTGGAACGTGGTCTTTCTTGCCGCATACCGCGACATCGCCAAGCGCCTCCGCGAGGAAGTCGAGCAGCAACGCGCTATCTCCATAGATGGCGAAGTCGACGCCTACCTCCTGGACAACAGCACTCTGCTGGCGGCCTGTGTGGAAGAATCCGCGCGTCTCCGTCCCCTCGCTGCCTTCTCTGTCCCACAAGCCATTCCCACAGCCAGAACAGTCGGCGGATACCACTTCCCCGCTGGCACAAACTTCGTGGTGGATTCGTACGCGCTCAACATCCGGAACCCCTACTGGGGCGAGGAGCGCCACTTGTACCAGCCGGATCGGTTCCTGGCAAGGAGCTTAACCCAGGCAAGGTACCACTTCTGGCGATTCGGATTCGGGCCGAGGCAGTGCATGGGCAAGTTTGTGGCGAGTGTGGTGATCCGGGCGATCCTGGTCCATTTAGTAGAGGGATATGACCTGCGGATGGTTAAGCCGGAGGCCATGGAGGAGTGGGGGAGAAATAAGGAGATTTGGATCAATCATCCGGATATGAAGGTGGTGTGTGAGAAGAGGGCTTAGATAGATTGTATAGGCTATGTGGATCGATGAAAAGATAATAGAGTTGTATGTATTTACATGATTTAGCGATTATGAACTCGTGTCTAGATGTTTTAATGTTGCTTGTGTCGGTCCTTGGTAGCTTCGACGGGAACGGGAGGAAACCGTGGATATAAGGGGCGCTTCACTTGGCCCCTTGCTTTGTTCTGTTTGTCATACCCCTGAGTGAATCGCATCAGTAGATTGTGGGTGGAGTCATATGGAATGGAAGTAAGGGATGGGTGGCGATCCGGAAGGTGCCGAGTGGAGTCGGAGATCTGAGCTATCTTGATCTACTCCGGATAGAGATAATCTATGATGAATGAGATGGGGAATTTATACAGTGTGCTAAATGGGTGCTACGATAATTCAATTGGTTGTATCCATGAACATTCAAAATTCTTTAGCAGTTTATCAATTGCGTTATTTGGCACTCTCTTCACCTGTGGACGTACTATAGGGCACCAGCCGAGCGGAATATATATCTTCACTCTATCAACAACGCATCACTATCTACACTCACTCCTAGCACTTACATCACCACGTTGAATACAATTAAAACCTGACCGAAACATCCCTGCTTTCTGGAACGAATCTCAACAAAGAACTCATCCCTGCACCATGCGACTACACCCACGGTTGAACCCGGTTCAACCCCCTCGGGGAACCCCTGACCCGGAGATAACCCCCCAATGAGCAAGAAAAAGCCCGCTCCGAGCCCTGGTCAAGGATTAATCCTGCAACGGCTTCCCTATCACTCAGATCGGCCCCGCTACAAGCGGCGGATCGCAATGATCTGCATGCTTACCATCTTCTCCGTCCGGACGAGTCGATATCTGTCCGGTCGGATCCGAGTACTGGTCCGGACAGAGCCTCGTGGCCGGCAGGGTATATAGGACCTCTGACGCCAGCAGTAATGCACTCCTCTCCATCAGCTACAACTGCAATCATTTACACTACATAAAACGAAACGAGAATACACCAGACAAATTCCTCTTGTTCCTGTCATCTCTATCCTACTCCAAAGCAACCTTTCAATAATCACAACATAACATCATGCGCGTTCTTGTGATTGGTGGAAGTGGACGGTGTGGAAAGCTCGTCATCGATGACCTGCTGAGTCGCGGTAAGTGTCTCTCGCTTGAACTTGCAATTCATTGGTTGTATCGGCTAAAATGCTAACAATAATCTAGGCCACCAGGTTACCACGTTGGCCCGCAAGCCCGAATCACTGGGTGGAGCTCGTGCCGGGCTGAAAGTTGTCCAAGGTTAGTCATAGTCATAGTCTCTCAACATCTGAAGGAATCGACTCCAACTAACTAAACCTCACCAGGAACCCCCACCGAACTCGAGGATGTCCGTGCCGCGTTCCAAGCCGACATACCAGATGTGGTAATTGTGACACTCAACGCCCCACGGGCCAGCGACAGCCCCTTTGCGGCGCCGATCTCACCTCCTCGACTGATGACGGACTGCAACAACAACGTGCTGGCGGCGATGAAGGAGTTTGGAGTACGCAAAACGGTCATCCTGCAGGCACTTGGAGTTGGGGAATCGTGGGACAATATGCACTGCGTGCTGCGGCTGCTGATGAAGAAGTCCAACATGTCGTATCAGTATGACGATCACAACGCGACAGCCAAGGCAGTGCAGGCCAGTGGACTGGACTATGTGATGGTGCGACCGTCGCGGCTGGTGGAGACGCCCGATGCCAACCAGCCGGTCAAAGTGTGGCCGGATCATGGCAAGGGAGTGCCCATGATGGCCAGCACCAGTCGGATCACGGTGGCCCGCTGGTTGGTGGATGCTGCTGAGACCAACAAATGGGATAACACGGCACCAGTGATCACCAACTAGAATATTTCTCGATCTGTTCTAGATATTGACATGGCAATCTCCCATCATCTCACAAGGGCCGATCCGGGGCGGAGCGGGTGGGAGCGGAGAATTTGGAGACGATCCAAGCTTGGCATCGACAGGGCAATGATTGTTTCTTATTCTAATTCTTATTTTTTTTTCCCCTCATGGTTTGTGTTTCATCATCTCTGGGCATTTACACCTGGCATGGCGTGAAGTTTTATGTATGTTATCAGATCTCTTGGCTTCGTATTAATTGTGGCTTTTCTTCTATTTATTCAGCAGAAATGCGATAACTAGTCAAACTTTTTTTCTTTTCCTCAGCGATGATTTTCAGGGTCTCCATCTTGGCTTGTCCTGGTCAGGCAGCAATACGAGATACCCGCGAGTCGATACGAGGCTGAGGTAAGCAGATCCGCTGCAGCCTGGTAACTTACCTGAGAGGGAAGGCGGTGGACGGACAAACAAAGACAATCTGCACTGCTGCTCTATGTGGCATCCCGAAGAATGACCCTCCAGGGGGGGAAAGTGGAGAGAGTCTCGTTGCCCTTGTTGTTATGGTTCTGCTCCACCAGTTGAACCAGAAAGTAGACTAAGAGCTGGGCAGAGCAAGGCAAACACAAGCAGTCTTGGGGTGAATGTCAGACTTGGCTGTGACTTGTGGATTCCTCCCATCGCCAATAATCTCCTCGTCTTACTTTCCTGCATCCACTCCTACGACGGCCCCTGCTGCTACTGCTTGCTACTGCTACTACTACTGCTGCACTGCATCCGCCTTGCGCGCCTGTCAGCTTAGCCTGAAGTCTCGATGAGACGGTGGCCCAGTCGCACTCTTGAAACCTGCTGGTCTTTATTATTGTCTCCCCCTCACACGCCAACCCTGACCCCCATTCTTTCCTTAGACTGGCTCCCCTTGTGCGACTTTGTTTCCCATCTCCGACGCGAGCACTCTTTGAAAATTCTCTTTTGCCAGCAATGAGTCCCGTGTCTGGCCAGATCTCCCCGCCCACCGAGCTGGCCGGGGACGCTTCCCTGACCCGCAAACGTCCCCGGCCCGTGGTCTCGTGCTTGCGCTGTCGCAAGAAGAAGCTCAAGTGCGACCGGGTCATGCCCTGCGAGAACTGCTCCAAAGCCGGTTGTGCCCCCGACTGTGTCTTTCATCCCAGTCCCGATGGCGTTGATGGTCTGCCAGACCAGCCCAGTGCGAAGCGCATGCATCTGCCACCTGACTTCCCGTTTCCCTCCGATCCTCGGGGCGATCCGGCTGGTGCCAGGCTGCCTCCGCCGCCCGCTGCTATCGGTCTGCTGGAGGATCTCCAGCAACGATTGCAGCGTGTGGAAGAGGTGCTCTCCTTGAAGCCGCTGACGCGCTCGTATGCTGGCTCCCTTAAGGATGCGGTGGCCCGCGATGCCAGTCCGTCTGTCCGCCAGACCACCCCGTCGACCCATGCTCCCCCGTATCCCGGCACTCTAGTTGTCAAAGGAAAGGGCACGCGATCACGTTACCATGGCCAGAACAACCGGACCACCTTGTTGCATCAGGTAATTCCATCTAGATTTGTCAGTGGGATGCGTATTTAACAGCTTGTAGTTCTCCGAAGCGAGAGAGTTCATTGAACGCTGCACCAAGGACTCTGCCATCTTGGGGCTGGCCAAGGAAGTCCAGTTTCTACAGAGTAAATCTAAGCTGCCCATGAGCTCACCAGAATCTATGCCCGATCTCGACTATTCGCCCGAGCTGCTGCAGATGCAGAGCTCTCTGCCATCCAAAGCGGTCTGTGACCGACTCGTGAACCTGTACACCACCAACTTTGAACGTACCCTACGCATGTTGCATGTCCCTTCTTTCCTCCGCCAGTATGCCGATTTCTGGACCACTCCTGGGCCGGACACTGAACGCTCCGCCACTTTCTTGCCGCAACTGACGGCCGTTTTGGCAGCCGCGCTGCCTCTGGAAGACCCTAGCTTCCGACTCGAGTATTCCTCCGTTTGGGAGTACTTGCAGACGCCCGCCGTCAACCTCGTGCGCGTATGGCTGCAGAAGCTGGGGCGCAAGCAACGCACCGAGCTGGTCTCGTTGCAGATTGAGGCGCTCGTGTTGTTGGCGCGACGACTGCGGCTGGTCTCGCAGGAGGAGCTGTGGCGCGCCACCGGCACGCTCGTGCGGTCGGCCATGGTGGTGGGCCTGCATTTGGATCTGTCCGGGAATAAGCAGCTGTCACCGTTTCAGATCGAAGTCCGGCGCCGCTTGTGGATTACCATTATGGAGATGGACCTGCAGACCTCCATCGCCTCGGGCATGCCCGTGACCATCCCGGATTTGGACTTTGATCCGCTTATCCCGACCAACTTGAATGACACCGATTTCGACGAATCCACCACGGAACTGCCGCCGGCGAAACCACTGCATGAGTGGACGGATACCCTCGCGCAAGTCACCTTGGCCTCCTCGTTACCCCACCGCATCCGAGCCATGTCGCTGGTGCGCACCTCGAGCCCGGGATTAGATCTGCGCGACATTGTCAAGCAGGGTCGACGCCTGGAAGAATGCCTGCGACAGATCCCCCCTCCACTCAAGCTGGATCCGTCCCCGATCCATGGGGAGACCCCTGGACCAGCCCTCTTGCTGAACCGGGTGCTGCTGGACGTATACATGCGTCGACCCTTGCTGTGCCTCTACCGGCCGATCGTCATGGGCGAGAGTCGCGAGGACCAACTCTTCCTGGAGATCGAGCAAGCGTGTCTGGAGTCTTCGCTGGTGGTGCTCTCTTACCAGGATTACTTCGACCCGAACGTGGCGGATCTGGACGTCTTCAAATCAACTGCCTACTGGGACGTGTTCCAGCTCTTTTGCAAGAACGATATTCCATGGGCTGCGCTGAGTGTGTGCGGGTATATGAAATTGTCCAACCAGCAGCATTCCGGGGCCCCGACGCCGATGGCGCCCGCTCCCGCCTACTCGCCCAGTCAGTCGACGACTACACACACCAAGGCCAGTCTTACGCGCATTGTCGAGAATACGCTCGACGGACTGACCCGCACCATCGGCGAAACCGGCAGCAACATTAAAGATGTCATGCTGCTGGCCGTGGTGCTGCAATCGGTGCGGGCGCGGGGGTCCGCCGAGCTGAAGGAGCGGTGGATGCAGCAAGGGGCCGTGAAGGCGCTGTCGGCGTGTCGACAGCATCTTCTGCCGTCTGTAGCGCAGCAATCGTTTGCGTTTAACCTGACGGATTTTGCACAGATGGTAAACTTCCTTTCTTCTTGATATTGTTATGGATTTAGGCTAATCTTTCCAGCTTCAAACTACGCAGCCGATCTTCCCCACAACAACAGACCCCGGCTACACGCCCTCCACGCAGCCACAGCTGCCCGACTTCCTAGCGGAGTCATCTGCCTTGGCGACAGAATTTAACAACTTCCGCGGCGATCCATTCGCCTTTGAAGATGGATCGTTTGCATGGAACATGTAAATCAGTGCCTGCATTATCTCAGTTTGTCGATAGTGAGGCCTACGATGAATGACGCAGCGATATGCATTGTGCAGTCACAGTCAGTTGAGTATTGGTTACAATCAGTTAATCGCTGATTTGGTTATGAGCAAAAAGTGGGATGGTGTTTGGTGCTTTATAGATGTCGGATGGGATGTACATAGCGCCTCTTCACTGTATTCAGTTTGATGAGTTTCCCAGTGTATTATTTAATTGTGTATTGCTTGATAATAGTGTACTTATGTGTGAATGGATATCCCGATGCAGATTGGTGCATAGGTTGCTGTGCTGTGAGCTGTAGTACCTCCCACCATAATCCCTCTTCACAATCACCTTGCATCAACCCGGCACTGCCCTGTCTATATTCAACAAAATACTTGCTAGTATCACCTGTATATACACCAGGCAATACTCGGTCGTCTCCTCGGACAATTCCAAAGGGGTAACGTACCCCGAAAACCCCGACTCTATCGGATCCGGGTTCGGATCCGGATCACCAGATCATCTCAGCTAAGCTCAGCTTCCGCCCGACGTCGATCATTCCAATCACTAAGCTACTACTATCAATCAGCCAACACTGTCACTTGTTTGTGTAGCACTTCCCCTATACTCCATTATGTGCTGGCATCGGGCAGCTGGATAATCCCGAGATGAGTCGGGCCACGGGGTTAAGGGGCGGAATTTCGAAACTGGAAGGATGGATGCCTGTGAATGAAGGCGAGGATTGTGGTATATAAGGAACGAAGTCCCGCTGTAGTTTGAGTTCATCAGACACAGCATCATTCCAGCATAGCAAGCTCATTTCTACATCTACACATTTACACTTTTCCGCATCTTCGCAAATCTACATCCATACAACACATCCATCTCTACACCATCTATACCATGTCCACCCACGTCGCTATTATCGGCGCCGGCCTCTCCGGCCTAGCCCTCGCCCTCTCCCTACACCAACAACGCATCCCCTGCACCATCTACGAGGCACGCTCTGCCCCGCTCAACATCGGCGGAGCCATCATGCTCTCCCCCAACGCCCTCCGCATCCTCGACACCCTCGGTGTCTACACCCGGATCCGCCCGGAAGCCTACTCCTTCGACAACCTCTACTTCCGTTCCCCGGCCGACACCCCCCTGGACACATACGAGTTCGGCAACGCCGCCAAATACGGCTACAGCGGAATGCGCATCTACCGACACGTGCTGATCCGGGAACTCTCCGCGATGGTCTCCGAAGCCGGGATCCCGATCCACTACCACAAGAAATTCAGCCGAGTCATCACAGAGACCGAATCCAACATAACCTGGGAATTCGAAGACGGGACCACCTCCACCGCCACCTGTCTCGTCGGCGCTGACGGCATCCACTCCAAAGTTCGCAAATATCTCTACCCAGACGTCGAGCCCGTATTCATGAACGCCATGGGCGTCACCGCCGCGGTGCCTACATCCCAACTGGCCATCCCGGAGGGGTATAACATCCCCGTAACAATCTTGAACAAAACCCACGGGGCATTTGTCATCGCACCTCAACTCCGCGACGGCTCCGAGGTGCTCATCGGGCGGCAGAAGCGATCCGCCCAACTCGACCGGGAGGGATGGACCAAGCTGATGAACGACAAGGACTGGTGCGTCGAATTCCTGCGTGAAGGGGCGGACGAGTTCCCCGAGATAGTGCAGCGGGCTGTATCGAACATCTCTGCGGAGAAGATCAACCTGTGGCCGTTCTATATGGTCCCCAAGCTGGAGAAGTGGAGCTCGGAGCATTGCCGACTGGTCATTCTGGGGGATGCGGCGCATGCGATTCCGCCGTCGGCGGGTCAGGGGATTAATCAGGCGCTCGAGGATGTGTTTACGTATGCGTTAGTTTTGGTGAGGTGTCAGGGACAGAAGGGCGGGTTGGAGAGGGGGTTGAAGGTTTGGCAAAGGGGGAGACAGGAGAGGGTTGATAGGGTGTTGGTGTTGAATGCCCAGATTGATAAGAGGAGAATGCCGAGCGCCGGTACTGCTGGGGAGGAGAAGGAAGAAGAGGAGGACAAGGGGTTTGAGTTGGGGTGGTTGTATAAGCCGGATTTTGAGGCTATGGTGGAGGAGTGGTTGGCGAGGGAATGACTGCATGGTAGTAATGGGTGCAGTTGGAAGAGTTGGGTGAAACTTGGGGCTGTTTCGGGGGTATTGGGTCTGATGATGTTGAGATTGAGAGCGTGATTGGTTTGTTCAGTTGATATATGGGTTTATATTTCTTGCTTGGGTTCAATAGGGTTGAAAAGTGCTGTGATGGTAGTACAGGATTTAATGGTACCGCTTGGTTTACTATAGTTTACGTCGCTTCTCTCTCAGACAAACACATAACTGTCTTCACTCTCGTCCCTCCAACTATACGGTAGAGACCATAATACTCCGGAATATGATACATGCAGCGCATACGAGGAGATGAGAAGCATGACATCACTACATCCCATCTCAGCATCGGACTCGCCCTTCGGTTGCCGTGGGTCCGAGACCGAGGCTGACAAATTCGCAGAATCACGACCCACTGTCGACGAAACCACTATATATGAGAGAAAACATAGACAAATTGATTGTCACTCATCTATACCAACATGAGTCCCGTTATCGTCTTTGGTCCAACAGGCGCGGTCGGCTCGGCCGCCGCGCGCACCGCCCAGCAACTAGGAACCACGGTGTATCTCGCTATGCGCAACCCCACGAAACCAATTCCCGGTCTCAGTGCGCAGAAGGAAAGCGAGGGAGGCTTCAAACGAGTGCAGGCCGACTTCTCGCAGCCAGGCACTATCTCCGCTGCAGTAGCTCAGAGCAGAGCGAAACACGCCTTCATCTACACCGACCTGACTTCATCTGACCACATGCGAGCGAGTTTCACCGCTCTCAAAGAGGCAGGAATCGTATCTATCGTGCTGCTGAGTAGCTTCGGTATCCAGGGAGATGTTCGCAATGTGCCGCCCGAGGATCACATCGCCTATGTGCATGCGCAGGCCGAGATCTCCCTGCAAGAGGTCTTTGGTGCGGATGGTTATGTAGCAGTCCGGCCGGCCTTTTACGCGAGTAACACGCTTTGGTGGAAGGCTCCGATTCAGACCGGACATGTGAAGCTCTCTTGGCCAGCTGCAGCTTTTGACTGGATTTCTCCGGAAGATATTGGAGGCGTTTGCGGCACGATTCTTGCCCGCAGGGCCCAAGGAACTGATCTGTCGTTGGCCGAGTCGTACGTGAATCTGGTCGGGGCCGAGAAGATGGGCGTTGGGGATGCCGTCAAGACTATTGGCAAAGTCCTTGGCAAGGAGGTCACTGTCACTGAGGTGGATGAGAATGTAGCCTTAGACAGCCTGGTGAATGAATCCGGGCTGCCCGAGCCCATCGCACGATCAGTGCTTGGGTTTTGCCAGAATGCTGCGAATGGTCAGTCCTTCATGGACAGCCCCCGGTATGGTCCTGCAGTTGGCAATATTGAAAAGTACCTTGGCCGGCCGGCGACACGGTTGCATGAGTGGGTGGAGGCAAATCGAGAGAAGTTCAGTGCTTGAGATACTGGCTTTTCTTAAGTAATACTGAGGTGTATGGTCATTTGTAAGTTAGCCGCGAAACAATGTCAGTGCGTGCTCCAGTAACAATTCTTTTCATCGAGTGATCAGCCATGGGTATTGCTTTTATTCTCAGGGTGTTGACCCCTGGAATGCTTGTGGCTTGGTTCCACATTGGGTCGCTTCAGATTACCAATAAATTCAAATGTCCCTTGCGTTTCCAGCTCATTGTAGAGGAGATTTCTGGTCCAATCTCCTCCATAGATAGCAGTACTATAGACTGAAAGTGAAGATGGCGAACAAACAAGCAAAAGCGGGATCCGGATGAACTTTGTCCCCACATTGCAGTCATTCTTTCCCTCGTCAATCTGCACACTTTGCTACAGACAAAAATCATCATGTCCTTAGAATGATGCACTAGTGATTAATTTGTGGGCTGTAGGCGTTGCGACAAATGATTGTCGGTTCAAGTTGCAGGCGCCGTGCGATATCCACTGTACGGTCAGGTGGACAAGTCGAGGGCTCGTATGATTCCACAAAGTAAACCTCTGACTTGTGGGAAGCTGACAATTATCCTGCTTCTGGTACCTGTATGCCATCGCCTCGCGCGAGAATGTTGTGTCCGACATTCAGGTCAAACTAACATTCGACATCCCTCCCACTCCGATTTAGAGCAATATGCGACTGCAATTGAGTCCTGTCTTTGCCCTCGGTCTCTATAAGAGTCTCCTCGCAGTCTATCCTCATGGTTGCACGCACATGAAAGGCTTGGGGTTTGATAAATAATGCGTCTGGGACGTGCATGAGACTTATGTATGGGCCTACATATACAGTTTTGTTGGGTTTGGAGTGATCACTTCCCCCGAGGTGAAACTGCAATGGCCATAAACACCCTCCTGGCCAGCCGTGTCTTTCCTCAGCGGCGAATAACCACCATTCCCATCCCTCCTGTCTTCCAGCTCATGATTACTGATGATTTCGTCCGCGTCGTCTCCATCTTCCGGCTGCACTGCGGCCACTGGAATCTCACCCCACATGATTGGCTTCAGAGCATGCTCCTCCCCCTCTATTGGATGACATGCAGCGCTGATTGCTGCACTGCAGCTACCTGCAATGGGCATTCGTGATGCGAAACGTCTCATGCCTAGTCCCACGACAGTACATGTCATCACTCCCCCTAGAATAAGCGCGAGCACAATGGCGATCGGTCCATATCCGCAGGCAATGACCCGGTCCCAAGAGAAAGAGTTTCCCAGCGTAGTACTCGGGTTGATTTCGACGTAGAACAAACTACCAGACACCAGCCAATGCAGGAGCATGGAAGCAACCATGAGTGGAATGCTGTAGCGATACGGAAGACTGAGATAGTAAGACGATCGCTGGGATCCCTGAGGCCAGGACACGCGGAGTGCCTTCCGCTGGCTCGCGTAGTCGTCGTATTCTGCGGCCAAAAGCATATGTGTCAGGAGGTTGTTGTACAGGAAGTAACCGATTGAGACGACAATTTGGGGCGTGTTGGCGAGGAGCGACATGGAGACAACATTTGAACTCGGAAGGTCTAAGAGGGTATAGGGCGTGGCCGAGCCAAATCCCAATTGCCACAGCGCACTTAAGGTAGTGGAGTATCCTTCCACCTGTACACCGTAGATAGCGAGCGACAGAAGATAACCACCAACACCAAGAAGGACAAGACACCTGTATACGTCAGTGATTATCAACTCGATCGCACGCAAAGATTACCACGTACACGCCAATAGTCACTGTCCACTGGCTTGGATGCACGGCTCGCATCCATCGCCGGCGAGGCGGGAGAGTTGCCCGTGTCCGGGGTTGTGATGCTTCCTTTACCGCGACTTTCAAATAGCCCTTCCGGCGCGAGCGCCAGGGCTGTGGTGCTTGAGACAGACTCGATCGGGATAACAGGCCCATCTGCTCGGTAAAAGGATCAGGTCGAGTCAGAAACGACGCTACAGCATCACCAACAGTCAAAAAGATGTCCGTCCGATCGCTCCGGGCCGCTAATAACATACACGCAATCTTGGACAGATTGCAGACAATCACCACCAGACAGACCGCCGGACTGAACAGCAGCTCACATTGTTCGGTGAGCTTCCGACTCAAACAATATTCGACTGGGTACTCTGGCCCCTTGACCGGAATATTCGGGAAGTCGGGAGCACATGCTAACTCATCCGCAGCCGGTTTGAGGCTCACGGCCTGAGCCCATGAGTTGTTCTTCCAAAGGGTAGAATTATCCAGGTACTGCTGCAAGACTTGCTGTGATGGGAAGTAATCGAGCTTACTTATAAGAGTTTGGTAATCATCCCATAGATCTGCAGACCAGTCACTGGTGTCTCTTCCTCCAAAATCTTTCCCGTTGATGGTAGCTAGACCGCTGGGGAACTCGACCGTGGCATTGACCACTGGACCATCCCAGGGTACGAAGGGCATGGCGGCCCACTGTTCAAGGAGACTTAGGAGTTTCGCAGAGGTGCAGGAGGATGAAGGCACGCCGAATTGAGCGCATAGCCAGTCATATTTGTTTGTCATGAGTTCCCCATCATCGCTTGAAACTGAGTTTCCCCTGTTAATCCATTGCAGACGTTCATTGGCAGCGGTGAGGTTGCTGGACACCAAAATCAGGGTGCCCAGATCCGTCGGGAAATCTGTCGCGTACCTGCTGACACATTCCTCTTTAGTTAGATTGTCGAAGCCAGGAAGGTCTGCATAGAAAGTGGACATGCTCATCGCCGTGTTTGGCTCAAAGCAGCCCACGTACGAGGAGTTATCATGGACCGGTGGGCGATCGAAATCGAAATTGGCCGAGGCCAGCACGACATCGTACTCCCTTGTGCCCAAGGCGAAAAATACGGCGGAGTTGTATCTAAAGGTTCGTCATTAGGCCCAACTCTCGAGAGGATGGTCATTGGCATACATCAAGTGAAATGGTAAAGAGGTTGTAAGAAGTACCAGCCACAAGGTCAATCGAGGCCAATCCGCCCATGCCAGATTCCGCACGCTGGCGACCCCGATATCCAGCCACACACGCTGCCCATGCGCGCGGTCGACATCGGCACGTGAAGGCGCAGTCAAGCACTGCATACAGTAACTACTGGCTCCGAGAACGATTGTGCTGAGGACGTTAATCAACAGATGCAGACCCGTCGTCCACGCCTTTGCTCGGTCGCAACTGCCCTTATAGATGGTGGCCGAGCTCATCGTCCGCTGGCCATGGCCCGCGACCGACACGGCAGCCGCCACAATGGTCAGGATAATATTCACTATTAGAACACCAAAGGCAGCGTATGTACATATCAGCACTCCCCGTACCCATCTTCTCTTGCTGTCATGGTGTGTAGAGAGCTTCAGAGACGAAAGGGAGGGGTTTGGCCACACGAGATGTTCGCGGTCTTGAGTACAGCTGGTGGTCTCACCAGTACTAGCCTGGTGTACAGGTACCAGTTCAATGCCTTCCGCCGTTCGCGAGCTGTGGTGGAGATACTGATAGGTTCTCGTCTGGAGTGACAGCCAACGCCGTAAACGCGTTCGGTCTGGCAACAAATCTTTCATCATGCTCGAATGAAAAGATGAAAATGGTCACACACGGGGCTGACAAGGAGATGCTGGCTTCTCGGAAGTCTGGGACTCTCACGACGAAGACTCGATCGGTGTACTGCTTATAGCCTGATTCACTGAGGCTGAGCCTTTCCCAAATTAAACCTTCGACCGATGCGGATGCACGGTGCCCGAAGCTATGGCGACCGTGTGTCCCCGTGCGATCGGCTATACCGTAACGCGCGGGGCTCAGGCAGATTGTTTGAGGCTATGCTTGGGCATTTCGAGGTTTCAGCCTCGCCAGCCTCGCCAGCCTCGCTTATGTTTGGACGCCGCTAGCAGAAGCTCGCATATGTCCGAGGTGGAGTTCCGCCCCGCTTGCCATTGGTCTGAAGGCCCATGTTATGTGTTTTGTCTAAAGCTTACTTCTCGCTATCGAGACGCTTCCTCTACCCCCGGACGGTGATACGAGTCTTGGCTAAGGCTTGTCTCCTGGTTATGGTGTCGTACACTCAGCAGCGAGATCTCAATCACTCCGTATAAAAGAGAAGATACTCCGAACTCTTGCTCTTAAGCCTTGTTCTCTTTATGGCTACCAAATCGGTGATGAGTGGGGCCAGTGCCTTGAAACGCTAGTTGGACGCAAGAAGCAAGCAGCTGCGAATCGTACTCCGGGTCTGATTGTTGCATCCAGGCATTAATGGAAGAAGAACCAAGAAAGGAGAGGAAGAAGACAGAAGACAGGAACTTGGTGTACCTTGACTAAGAAAATGGTGGGTTATTGGTTTCCATGGCTGTTTGGTCGACACCTACTAGCTATACAGCGACTAATTTGATTCTCGAACTGGTCGTGTCTATGTAGCTCTTCCGATTCATAGAACGAGAAGGGATGAACCTGAGTGCAAGTACGGAAAACTTATATATGTTTAGCAACAGAGATGTCGGAGTTCTCGTTGAGCAAGTAGACTACTACGCCACAGCACAAGGCCGATCACCTCAGTCAAGTCACCAACGGGCCTCAGCGACACATTCTATAGAAAGTGCTATCCCTCACTTCATACGCTCCAAGACGAAATACAAACGGTCTCCCTGCTGGCTAGAACTATCATGTTCAGGGCTATCCATCACCCCAATGACAGTATTCTCATCCATATAGCGAAAATAGTCAATAACAGGCCGTTCATTATAGACCATTGCGGCAGACACGACGTCATTATATTTGACCTCGCGAATCTTGGCAATCAGCCATTGACGATACAACCAAGATCAAGGCTAACGTACCCTCGCACCACCCCAATAGGGGTTGGGGAACCGACAACCTTTATCGTCGTGGCACACCATGGGCTCAACATGGTCGACTGCGTGGAAATTCTTCCCAGCCCATTTGACATTCTGAAGGATCTCCACGAGCTTGTTGCCCGTCAGAACAGGAAGCCCTTTCCATTCGCCTAGCAGGAAACTTGGGCTAACGGGGGGTCTCTCGTCAAAGTAGGTTTTGGCTTCGGCGGTGCTGATGGGCCGGTTTGCGCGGATGCATTCTATGATGCTGTAACATGTGGTATTAGTGCCGGGTTTCCATTAATCAATTTTCATAGCGCTACCTGGTCATGGTGTCTGATTCGTCGGAGTATATCCTCGTCTTTTGATTGATGAGGAATGTAAAAGTTCAAGGGAGGTCCGAACTACTTATTTGTATGTTTCAATCCTTTTATGTGTAACGTCATATCTATTGCAACTCACTCCCTACATACTGAGGTGTGTAACATGCAAGCATCCAAAATTTGTTGCCAGCCGGATTACATTATGGCGCTAGTGATCTTTACCAAGGAGATCTGCGTTCATGGAGTAGGTGGCCCAATAAGGATAGAATTGTTCAAGGCATAAAATAACCATACAGTTCATCCCTTACCGGGGTCTGTCAGCTAGAAATGCCCTTACTTTGCTGCTGCGAACGGCATGTTGGCAACATGCGGCCTGCTATATAAGGCGGCACCACCATGACCCTGAACGGCCAGTGGGTCTGACTACGTGCTGGCTGCTCAATGCCCAGTAGGGTATCAAGCTAAAGTGTTAGCAGCCTGAAATACAAAGAACGGTCGGTTAAGCCCCGAAGCGAAATGCAGTTGGCAGTTTGCGGCAGTAACAAGGGTTGCTGATTAAGCTAGATCGTCCTGCTAGTTAACTAACTCTTAATCAAGACAGAATCGTTCAGCCTCAAGCGTGCTATGAGATAATCACAATATAGAGATCATATTTCGCCATCAGTCACGAGTATGGATTGGAACCTACCTTCAATAGGGGGGAGACAAAGAAACAGGATATTGCCGAGATACAGCCTCAAACAGGGATCTCCATCCTGGGCCATCTTTAAGACTTCCTAAATTGAAATAGCTTCTCATCCAGCCTGTCAGAATTCAGCTGGACTGGACGATTACATACACTACTGCCTGGCCATCACAGACTATGTTATACCCGAGGGTTCCAGACTCTGCCCCGGTTGTCAATCGGGGGCATTTAAAGCCAGCCCACCGAGCGTTACTCCCGTTGTAACTTGTATGAGCTTGAGCCACCATGGCGCCTCTTAAGACCGTCCTGATCACCGGCTGCTCCGCCAACGGCATCGGATCGGCCCTGGCCGTCGCGCTCGTCAATCAAGGCCACCACGTCTTCGCCACTGCGCGTTCACCATCTAGAATCCCATCGTCTCTCACCACTCTGTCCAATGTCACCCCTCTCCAGCTCGACGTCATCTCTCCCGAGTCCGTAGCTGCTGCAGTCCAGGCCGTCGAGCAGCACGGAGAAGGCCTCGATAATCTCATAAACAATGCGGGTTCCGGTTACACCATGCCGCTGCTGGACGTCGACCTCGCCCAGGCCCAGCAGGTCTACGAGACCAATATCTGGGGACCGCTGCGCCTCATACAAGCCGTAGCATCATTGCTACTATCCCGCGGAGGACGCGTCGTCAACATAAGCAGCGTGGGTGCCGTAGTCCCCACACCTTGGATCGGTACATCAATTTCCTTCCCACGGTCGCCATGCAGTCGCACATTAACAACGTGATACAGGCATCTACTCATCCTCGAAATCCGCCCTGAGCAATCTCTCCGAGACTCTGCGACTGGAACTCGCGCCACTAGGCGTATCCGTGGCCACGCTCATGATTGGCACCGTCACGACGCCCTTCCACGCAAATGAGCCCACTTTCACCCTCCCACCAAGCTCACGGTATGCAGCTATCGCGCAGACCATCTCCCGCTGGGCGTCGGGCGAGACAAGTCCAAAGGGATGCTCGGCACAGGAGCTGGCGGATTTGATTCTGCCTGATGTACTGGGTACGACAGGACATGGCATGTTCTGGCGCGGGCCGAATAGTGGTGCGGTGAAGTTTGTTTCTCAATGGGTGCCGGGGTGGTCGGCAGTGAGTTTGTCCTAATCTACTGAGGGTGTTATTGCTAATGTTGGAATAGGATCGCATGATGAGCATGGGCCAGGGGTTGGATGAGCTCGCGGCGAGTCAATCGAAGTGAAGAAGGGCCAGGTCCGCCTAGTTGCTTGAAAATCTAAACGATTTCGAAATGCGATTATAGATAACCGATACTCGCCATAACGCAACCTACATACATCCTCTTCAGGGGCACTGTTACCCATGTACAGTGCCTAAGGTGTCTCATGAATGCCGACCGTCGTGGATCAATACTGCCTCGGGCGAATATGGTAGAAATAGGAGAAAATCCATGTTTATGGAACCTCAAAATAGGTGATAAAAAATATACTAGAAATATTGCTCGCGAATCAGCCAATATCAATATATAGCCATATAAAAGTAAAACGAGAGAGTAGCTGTAGACAGATCATGGTTACACAGTATCAGGTACAGGCGCCGACCATATTCTGCCGCCTCGCCATGAAAGCGGTCAAAAACTTCACAGAATCCAGGGTGAGCATTTTGAGACTGTGAAAGCTTAAATCCGCTTAGATCCGCGATTTTTTCGACGAGGTCGACTAGGTTCTGCCGTCTTAAGCGGTGTGTCGAGCGGTCAGGGTCCATTTTCTGCCAGCTTGTCGGCAAAGGCGGTCAGATTTTATACAGAATCCACGATGAGTGTCTGGGAACTGGAAACTCTTAAATCCGCTTAAATCCGAGGTTTTTCGAGCGAGGTTCACTAGGTTCTGCCGCTTAAAGCGGTCAGTGGAGCGGTGGAGCATGTGATGGCAGATTATGCTATTGCTGTGTTTGCAGCCGCGGTTCCGGCGCCTGTTTGTATTAAACATCTTGCTTTTTGGTTTGCTGAGAAGTTAAACGGAGCATCTGGTCCAACTGTTGCCCAGGATTCTGGAGGATTTTGATAGTACGTCGAGGGTGTATGATGAGAGATATGTTCTTGTGATAAAGAACAATCTGCTAGCTAAAGGACTCTCCTAAAGTTCAGTTCGGACCGTTTGGACAGATAAGTACAAATATATATTCCCGGTTAGTAGAAGGAACAATTTGACAACCACCTCGTTACTTAATATTTAAAAACAGTGGAAATCTATAATAACTTACATAGATTGCGATTACTATTCAATTACTAAAACTCTGTTTATTCTGCTTTACCAATATTCCAGGCCCGATCTGCAGTGTCTACTACCCCTCCTTCTTTCTTTGGCCATCCGCAGCCACAGCAGACGAATGAGCCAGATGTTGTCGGAATGGCGCGGTCGGCGCTAGTGTTACTACGTACGTAGTGCTACCGGCACTGCGAATCCAATTGCGGCGGTCTTCGTCGGAACTACTTATCCGGAAATACAAAAGACCCTAGAAGAAGAAGAAGCAGGGATACCGACAAGGATATTGCCCAGGTTTACCTAAAGATAACTACCACTGGCCTGAAGGTGCATAAGAATTGGTGATACTCTGGTTCTGTCGTCTGAACGAATTCCCCAGTTTGGTGAGTTGCAGCAGTCGATGACGACGGAGTGCAGCCCGTGTTAAGCCACTGATGCCCCTCTGTGCTTCTGCAGTAGAATGC